CAATCCGATTATATTCCGATTATATTGCAACAAACCGATGTCGATAAAATCTCTATACGTTCTCTGATCAAATCGCAACTTATCGCAATCACTGCTACTTGGGAAGTCCCGAGATTCACGCAGCGCTGCTCCTTTGCAGCATCCATCGTCACGCCCTTGCTGCCTTTGCGTGAGGTGAACCAGAACCTAAGACACACGCCAATCTTGAGCTGCAGCCTTTGAGCTTCTTCCTTGTCACAGGAAATGGAGATGTTGCATGTGTGAGGAATTTGCGATTTGGCTGTTGATTCTTATGTAAAAGTCGCGAGAAACACAATGGTGCCACTGGTTTTCTCTGAAATCAACTCCAAAGCTCAAAAAAAGCTCTCAAATTGAGGCCAAAATGGAGGGAATATCCCACGCTATTCTGAGAGTCCACCTCTACATCAAAACAAACTCTCAATGCAAAGATAGGGAGCAAATACATTAGCAGTGATGCCGTGTTTTCAGTTTTAGAGTCCCCAAATAAAGTGGCAGCCATGTCAATGTATTTATTCCCTATCTTTGCATGGAGAGTTTGTCTTGATGTAGAGGTAGACTCTCCGGAGAGCGTGGGATATCCCCTCTATTTTGGCCTCATTTTGAGAGCTTTTTTTGAGCTTGGGAGTTGATTACAGAGAAAACCAGTGGCACCATCGTGTTTCTCGCGAACTTTTACATAAGATTCAGCAGTCAAATCGCAAATTCCTCACACATGCAACATCTCCATTTTTGATTAGAAACGTTCAAGACTTCTGAGTGATGCGTTGTTGAGTCATCAAAATCAGTCGAGCTATCTACGAACAAAAATCACCTTTTTGCACTCATAATTGGCGCGGATAACATTGGTCTCTGACGGTCGATAGGAATGATAAATATCAGGGGATTCGAAGATTTTGAGCTGTGTGAACGGCTGAATGTCATCAATGAAAGTGTTAAACCGTGTGAACTTGGAACTTGATTTCGGTCACGTTTTCAGTAGGAAGCTCCGCCGTGCTGAGTACAAACGCCGTATAAGCATTCGAATGTTGCCACATTTCTTCTCAGAAAATATTTAGTTTCAAAGAAAGTTATGAATATTTGTCCGTGAAAATTTCTGACTTTTCGGGTCAAATCATGAACGAAATCCTCTGAAAAATCGGAAGAGGAATATTCACATATTTTCCTGAAAATTTGTGATTTTTCGAATCAAATTTGGCAACGCCTGTTGGCTTTTATGGCGTTCTTACTCAGCACGGCAGAGATCTCGTCCGCGGTGTCGGATTTGAATATCTGAATTAAATTAAACGTAACAGATAAGCAACAGTGGCGTGTTTTTCTATATATCGATTGATCTGCCATTTAAAACTATGGAAAAGGATCGATTATCAAAGTGCTCGCAGCGAACACATTGATACTCGATTCTTTAGTACAGCTTCAAATGGAGAAATATCGATAATCGATCATTCACGCCACGCCACTGATAAGCAATAATTGAAAGCGCCACTCCTTGCAACTGATGATAATTTTTCCGACGTCGGAATAAACTTTTCTCTCGCCTCTCGACCGAAAGCGGAGCTTTGACTTTGAAGCTCGACCCCCGATGAAATGCTAGCGAAAAGAGGGAGGGAGGGAGGAAGGGAAATGCCCTGTCACTCTCACTCGTAACCTTTTTAATACAGATGAAAACTGTGCATTTAAAACTTGCCTACAACGATAGGAATACTTAGATCTGCGTTGTATAATGAACAGTAAACTGTATGTACAGGGTGTCTATAAGTCCGGAATTTCCGGAAAGTCCGGAGATAGCACTGATTTTTTGAGGGCGGTCCGGAAGTACTGAAAAAGTGCGGAAATTCCGCAAAAAGATCCGGATTTTTTAAAAAATTTTGTCATTTTTGTCGCAATTTCAAATTTTTTAAATTTTTCTAATTTCGTCAAATGGAGGTATTGAAAAAGTACGGAATTTTTCTGTTGGAAGAGGTACTGAATTTCTCGAGATTGTACTGAAAAAGTACTGTAAAAGTACTTATTTTTGACCAGCCTGTTTTAGTAGACACCCTTTGTAGCATTCTGAATTATAATTTTACTATCGGTAATTTTTACACTTGAGGATAGTAACTTTGTAGGTACCGCAGGTTTTGGCAAACACCGTAATTTTTTCCGGTATATTTCTCTCTTTTTTTGTGGGCGAGTACTTTTCCCCCTTTTTTCTTTGTAGGTGAGGGACATTATGAAAAAGTAAGCAAGTCACTTCCCCACTTACTGACTGCGCCTTTCCTCAGCACGGCAAATCTCTCTTGCAATCAGTGGCGATCAGTGGCGTGGCGTGCTTTGCGATATATCGATTGTTCTGCCATTTAAACCTATGGGAAAGGATCGATAGACAGGGTGTTCGCAGCGAACACCTTTATAATCGATTCTTTACCATAGGTTTGAATGGCAGAACAATCGATACATCGCAATTCACGCCACGCCACTGGTGGCGATTCTAGAAAGTTGGAAACACCGTTTCTCCTCCATTTAAATGTATGTAAAACCATCGATTCTTGAGATCGATATTTTCAATGGATTCAAATGAATAAAAAACAGTATTGCCAACTTATAAAATTGCCATTGCTTGCAATGCATGAAAGAGCCTTTTATGCTCCTCACCACGCCGTTTAAATCGTTCGCGTACCACTGCGTCTCACTGATTGTGAGAACCGCGACTGGTTTATTGCGACTCTGTGTCAATGGACAGAAATTAAAATTTTTTTCTCTGAAACTGGAACTGCTTAAAGTTATAAACTGCTCTGCATTGTCACGTAGCGCTCTCTGATTCCGTGGCCTTGGCGGTTATCTGAATTAATATCGCTACTTTAATATTTATACTCGCCAACTGAGAAGGTGCACTTATCGAGGCGAAACATAATTTCAGAAGTCAGTGACCAGTACGTGACGTCACCTATGCATCGTTCAGCGATAGAAAATTAAGTGAACTTCTCGATTAAATTTAGGATATTCTCGAGTTCAGCCAAGAGTATATTTTCTCCCGCCAAAAGTAATCTTTGGCCCGTATTAAGTAAATATCCTGTAAAAGTATTTAGTTTGTTAAACACCTGAAAAACGCACATTCGCAACATTTCCTCACATTTTTTCCTACGTTTGGAAACGCCTCTACATTTCCTCTATGGAAGGAAAAAACCCCTCAAACCTACTTTTTCCTATTCTGTAATCCCCAAACTCTGTCCCCAGGGGCGCATATTGTTTAAATTTTCCAGGAGACCTCCGCAATTTTTGCAACGCGCTGATCAAAATGTTTGCTTAAGCTTTAGGGTGCGCATGGTTCTCGCGAAAAGCAAGCCAACACAACGCGCTGATTTAACCTGAAACCCCTAAATAATAAATAAATGAATAAAATAAAAAATCGTCAAAAAAAGAAAAAATAAAGAAAAACTCCCAGCCTTCACAAGTTTTCGGGTATGTCCACAATTTGGTCGTCAACGCGCAGTCGAGAAAAATTAGCATCCCTGTCTTCCTGTTTAGTAATATTGAGTAGATTATCATCGTTCAAAAGCAGTTTATATGAGTCAACATCAGTATGTATAGGGACTAGAGTATTTTTTCTCTGACATCAACTCAAACCAAACAACAAAAAGTGATACCACCCGTGTGTAGGCGATTACCAACTGATCACTTTCATTAGAGAAATTTAATGTGTAGAGTTTTATCTTTATATTGCAACAAAGCAGTAGAAAACAATTGAGATTTTGAGTCGTAGCAATCAGGGTTGATTCTTGAAAGTTTGCCACTGTTTTTCTTCCATTTAAGCCCGTTAAAAATATCGATTTTAGGTGAGACAAGCTGCCTCACCGAGAATCGATTGTTTTACATACAAAACAACAACAACAATCAACAACAATCGAGGAATAACAGTGCTGCCAACTTTCGCAATCGAGATACGTGTTTTCCGAATTTTATCTTCAAATGTATACTTTGAACATCGTCAGTCCAAACCAGTAGAAATATTTTCTACCCCCTTGACTTGATACCCCTAGAATGATTTTCAGGAAGTAACATGCTCGTCCAACCTTGCTCGAAGTAAAACTTAGAGCTCCCTCATTTATTGGTCGCCGTATTTCGATGTGATTCAAAGACGCTGATCGCTCGAAATGGTTGCGCGCAACGCTTGGAGCGCCTGCAAACTCGAAGGTATACTTCAAGCACTGCCATCGTGGACTCGCGATCTTCGTATCCACGGATTGTGCACGTTTTGCGCGCCTGAAGCTAATTGTTCTGATGTGTGATTATGTTTAATATAACACACAATGTAAAACTGATAAATCTAGAGTTCACGCCTTTGTAAGTTTTCGCAGCACAAGATGTGCCCTCTGCTTTTTTATCATCGAAAGCAAATGCACGACTCAAGACGTCAGGTGATCCATCTCACTCTATGAGTGGGTAGACTTTTGATGCGTCGACCTTAGTTTAAGGTAGCAATATTGATTGAATGTTGACATCGTATAGAAACTACGTGGGGGGATACCACAAGTCAAATGTCATAAAAAATAAAATTTTGTGGTATTCACTTGCGGTGATATTTTTACTTATATGAGACGCGTTTCGGAACTTAAAGTTTCAACCTCAATCGCTGCCCTGAGTTCGCTGCCGACTGAGGATGGAATTTCCGAATTTCCGAAATTCCGAAACGCGTCTCATATGAAGTAAAAATATCACCGTAAGTGAGTACTGGAAAATTTTATTTTTTATCACTGTTGACATCGTGTTGCTAGCAGAGAAGTAACCCGACTTCATAAGGTTTAAACTGAAATAATTGATCCTTTTGCTAGGGAAAAAGTGTAAACCGCTTAAAATTGACTCTTGAAGTCTCGGAGGAGGGTGCGAAAAATAAATTAGTATAGGAGGACGACGATCCTCTACTAGCTGCTACTATGTCTCAGAAGTGCCAATGCTTTCAGTCGCTCATTTAGAGAGACCTAAAATGAATTCTAATTTTTCAGGACTTCCAATCGGACAGCACTTATCTCTCTCCGCTCAGATCAATGGAAATCTGGTGGCCAGATCATACACGCCTGTCTCAAGCGATGATGATGTCGGATACATGGAACTCGTCATCAAGGTAATCATATGAGATCGTTTCTCTACATTTTCTAAGTCCAAGATCGAGGTTTGAAAGTTTTAATTGCCTCTAGGTAGTGCTGATGATGGTTGAGATTGCAAGAGGAGAGTAGCTTGAGAATTCAACCGAAGGATCTTTATTTTTTTAAAAGAAAATTCTGTGAGGGAACCCCATACCCTCTCTCCAGTCCCCCCCCCCCCCAATAAAGTTTTCCATATGGACCTTTTGGAGTTTCCAAATTGCAACAATACGACAAAAAAATGAAAAAAATTTCGGACCTTTTTGGAGATTTTCCGCACTTTTTCAGTACTTTCAGACCGCCCTTAAAAAATCAGTACAATTTCCGGACTTGTAGACACTCAGGATAAACGAGGGTTCCCTGCCCTGTGTACATTTCACCAGCCCCCCCAGCCCCCACTTTCACAAAAAAATATGAATTATACAGGGTGTCCGGAAGTTAACATACTTAACTTTCAGGATCGATTTTTCGGCTCAGAATATGATTATTTTTTCCTATACACATATGCTCGAAAACACTTCATAAGTGAGCTATACGTTTCCAAGCGCTTTGGAACCGAACTGTGGAAGCGCATAGCGATTTCGGGCATATGTGTATAGGAAAAAATAGTCATATTTTGAGCCAAAAAATCGATCCTGAAAGTTAAGTACGTTAACTTCTGGACACCCTGTATATTTCATATTATTTTTTTGTGGAAGTGGGGGCTGGGGGGGCTGGTGAAATGGACCCAGGGCAGGGAACCCCCGTTTATCCTGAGTGTCTACAAGTCCGGAAATTGTACTGATTTTTTAAGGGCTGTCTGAAACTACTGAAAAAGTGCGGAAAATCTCCAAGAAGGTCCGAAATTTTTTTCATTTTTTTGTCGTATTGTTGCAATTTGAGCGAAATATTCAAATTTTTAAAATTTTTCAAATCTCGTCCAATGGAGATACTGAAAAAGTACTGATTTTTTGCCAGCCTGTTCTAGTAGACACCCTGATCATCCTTTTACGAGTGCCGGCTTTTGTTGCCAATACTTTCTACATAATGGAAAACGCCTTAAATGTTATTAATATTCAAACCTAGGCTCTTGTGCCGGACTGCATGGGAACTTTCTCAGGGATTCCCGATCGTGTTCCCAGTGCATCACTTTCCTGAAAAACGTTGATTTCAGAAAAGGCACACAAGTTCAAAATTCAGAAAATAAAAGGATTGAAGTATTTAACCGTGATTTTGGATGCTGTTTAGGCTCTCTCAAGCAAGAATTATCTGCAGCACTGTGTTTAACAACAGAAAGTAAAAATATATGTATATTATTTCATTATATTCATGAGATGTTGTCCAATGTGGTACCCCTTTTTGAGTGTTAGTTGAGGAAAAATTGTCTTACAGTTAGTGTTTTCTAATTTTCAGGTCTATTTCAAAGGAGTCCACCCGAAATTCCCTGATGGAGGTAAAATGAGTCAGTATCTGGAGGGTATGAAAATTGGCGACTCAATCGATGTCAGAGGTCCATCCGGCAGACTTATCTATCTAGGCAGAGGCCAGTTTCAGATTATTGTCAATCGTAAAGAACCTCCAGTTATAGTTAAAGTGGATCAAGTCTCTATGATTTCTGGTGAGTAACTGTCAAATGGTTTTAATCTATGGTCTGATAAGCTAAATCGTAGGCTGAATAAAAAATTGGCCGTTGTCCATGTTCCCTCTTTCTCATGATGTACTGTGTGCGTTTGTTCACCAGAAAAATTCCATTGAATATCCATGACAGAGATGGTAAGTAAGTAGCTCCAGCAGATGCAGTATACCCATCATAACTGACATGGTTTCGTTACCACCAAAATGTTCTTTTGAAAAAAATGAGGCAGTGCGGCACATTGCCTCGTGTATACCTACCAAAGCCACACTTTAATATCTCGCCCTTCACAGGAGCTTTGCACCCAGGCACCAACCCTTGCTATAGCACCTCTGAAAAACAATGAATTCTATCCTTGAAAAAGTTTATCAATTCATACATTTTTGCTGCACATATCGGTGGTGGAAGCACCAGACGACGTATGCTGTTTGCAGCATTTGAATATCTCCGCTCCCAATCTATGCTTGAAGGAGAACAAATCAATATTATTCCTTGGAGTTTTCATAGATTCTTCTTCGTACAGAGAAGAAGAATCATGAAAGTTTATAAAATTGACGTTAAGTAGTTTAAAAGTCCATTTAAAAAATAAAGTAGGCCAGGAAGCCTGCAACATCGTAAATTGAGATACATGGTCTGGTAGTTTCACCTTCGATATCCCCTTCGAATAAAAAACATATCCAATCTTTTAGATATCTTGTTGTTTTTGTTCCTTCAACTCTGTTCAAAAGTCTAGTATCTTGTGTATTTAGTCTGTAATAGTCATAGGAATTCGAACTTATTTTTCCTTCACCCCCAACTCTTGTCACAAACCTGTGAAACAATATGGCAGGGAAATTTCAATTGGAGACCATGGATTTCTTTAAAAAAAAAAAAAATCTAGGTTTCAGGAGAGACATTCTTCAATGTATATCTTTTTTCTTTTCTTTGTTTTTAGGTGGGACTGGAATTACACCTATGTATCAGCTTGTCAAACATGTTCTGAAAGATCCAGAAGATAAAACAAAACTTGCACTCTTGTTTGCAAATCAGTCAGAAAATGATATTCTGTTGAGGGATGAATTGGAAAAGGTTGCAGAAGAACATCCAGACGTTTTCAAAGTATGGTACACAGTAGACAGACCATCTGAAGGTGAACATTTTTTTTTCTGCTCGCAGTCATGTATTCATTTTCTGTCATAAATTCTCCCTTTACTCTCTAAACCTTTTAACTTTGACACTCAGGCTTTTTTCCTAGGTGTATCGAGCCAGCTTCAAAATTGCCAAATAATCTCAGCTCTGAGCTGATAGCAAGTACGTTTTGCTTCAACCTGCCTCTTGTACAGTAGATCAACAAGTGCTGCAGTCATGCAATGATACATCAACTAAAAACAATATTGCAGAAAAGCTTTTCACATTCTGAGAAGAGATTAACTTATATTACTGTCGTAAATGTTTGTTATTTCAAATCATAGAAGAGATGAACAATTTTTCTGTCACTTATTCAACCTGAGAATATTGTGCAAACAGTTATTTTTAAATTATCCGTCAAAACAAAAGTATGCAAATTCTTTCAATGAATTGATGTATAGATATTTGGACCGCGTTTAACAGAAAGGAACCAAGCCACATCAGCTATTGCCAATTTTAACTGGGCAATTTAATTTTTTACGAGAAAACGTTTGTGCGGATCCTTTTGAAAATGTTAAGGAATTTGCTTCGTACTATGGAGGAAATTCACTAAAATTTGCACAAAAATCCGCACAACTATTTTCATGTAAAAAATTTAATTAGCCGATTAAATTTGGCAATAGCTGATGTGGCTAGGTTCCTTTCTGTGTAACGCGGTACATTTGAACTGACCAATGTTGAGTAAAACATTTTCCCTTTGACCAAGGGATTTCCCCTTCCTTATCTCATACAGCCAATGTGACGGGGGTTTTCTCATTGCAAACCCTATTTGCTTGGATTCAAGGCTCAGTATTACAAAATCAGGCTCAGGGGTGAAAGTTTTAATTCATCAGTACGTGGATCAGGATCCGGGCTAAATTGATATGTTGCTGCAGACTCCTAGTCTTAACACCTCCAGTTTTGATGGGCAAGGATCTATCAAATCAGGCAAGGCAGAAAAAATCAAAATCTGCTCGGGGAGGTCTATATCAGTCATGATAGGTCAGGATCTGTATGCATGGTCGGATTTGTCCATGACACAATGGCACATGCATCAGAAAAAGCTTGTGTGTCTCTAAACTTTTCAGAAGTTGATCTTCATCATCACTGTAATTAAATGTTTGTTCTGTTCCAGGGTGGAAGTACAGTGTAGGATTCGTATCTGCAGAAATGATAGCCAGTCATCTGTTCCCTCCAGCATCAAATAATCTAGTTCTAATGTGCGGACCTCCGCCAATGGTGAATTTTGCCTGCAGTCCAAATCTTGACAAATTAGGATATGATCCAAAATTACGCTTTGTATACTAGATAAGCTAGAGTACATATTTATTTTTCTTCTGTCTTTGACTTGCATTTACTTAACTTTTGAAAAAGAATTTAAAAACAGTTAATTTGTAAGAGAGTTTTTTTTCCTTCTGTCTAGAAGAGCGAAATTTTAGGAAACAAATTTAGAATTTTTTATTTTTAGCATGCTTCTCAGCATTTCTTGCCCTTTCTCTTAATCAAATTCTTCAGATTGCAGGCAAGATTTTAAAAAAAATTTCTTCATAGAAATAAGATTAAGTCCTGGTGAAAGCTTGCAAAGTTTTTGATCTCTTGTTTTTGCAAGTCTCTTTTTTGTTTGCCTTTTTTTATGAATGGTTCCTCTTTTTAAAAAATCATCTATTAACTTTTTTTTTATTTTATCTCTAGTTTAACCTAGGTTACATTTTTTTTTACTTTTTACATCGGTCACATACAAATTCAATTTGTAGTTAAATTTGTAAATGTTTTATCTCCTTTAATTAGTGAGGTATTGAAATGTCATGTCTGTTAAGAAACAGTCTCGATTAAACCAGTATTTATTTAAGTGGCAACTAGTATTTCTCACCCTCTTGGTTGCAAGTATATTGAAAATAATGTATCTTTTGTTGCAAACCAAAAAATTGTATTAAAGTAAGCGTGGCTTTCATCGCTTTACCCTCTTTGATGTTCTGAATTATTATTTTTCATCAAAGCTGTATCTGTAGATATACTGGATGTATTTCTATAATTTTCTGGGTTTTTACAGGTTCTCTTCTTGAGAATAATGTCATTAAATTTTCAACTTATAGCCCATGTTCTTTCTCTTGCTAAGAAGCGGCCCTCTGAGGGTGTGGAGTGCCTAAAGGAGGTAAACCAAGGGAGGGGGGGGGAGTTAATTTACATTACTTTTCTGCTGTACTACAAATTCAACATTTCACAAGAAGTAAATTTATTAAAACTTCTCCTACCTTTATAATTGTTTTTATGAAAGTCATTGTTAGATTCAGTGCTACTTACCCTCTAAACAATAAAACAATTTCTTGCTTTGAGCAAAATTATTATTACAGCTTATTTCTTTCTAGTGTTTTATTCTTTTCCAAAAACAGAAATATTTCTCTCACAAACCGTAGACTTTCAGTCGTATTTGAATTAAAAAAATCATTGATCTTTCCAGGATCAGTATCACAAGGATCATTGAAAAATCCTTTAACACCGTACTACTTTGATGAATAGCTCAAGTTAAATCCCCCCTTCTTCTGAAGATTATGTTCTGTTAATTTTTTTGATGAAGATTATGTTCTGTTAATTTTGTACCATCAAAACCTAAATGCCAAGGCTAACCATCACGTAGTGATTGGATTATGTGACAGTATTTCATTAAATAAAGAAGTAAATCAATTGGGTGTGTCTTTCTTTTTTTCTGTGTAGCAAGGCATACAGTCTACCTCCTTAATCTGTCAACCATACTTCTCATAATCATAGTGTGGGTGCTGAGGTAGAGAAAGCGGATCACATTCCACAGACGTAGGGTTCTGGTATTTGTTGCATTTAATTTTTCTCTAGGTTTTAATTTTATTCACTTTGGTCACAACTTGTCCTAAATCTGCCTCATGATTCCCCACAATTCGTATGACGTCACATTTAAACATTGTAGATACTTTTTGTCTGCCTTTTTTCTTTCTCGCCTTAAGTGTTGCCTTTCCTCTTTCTTACCCTAAGTATTGCATTTTTTTTCTACTTTTACCTTGTCCTCCTCCCCCACCCCAAATTTTTGCTGTGGAATTAGGGGCCAGAGAGGAGGGAGAGCTAGAACTACGATCTCTAATCCTTTCCAAGGGGCTAAGCTAGGAAAAGGCAAGACCACAACAATAATCAAAACATAGAAAAATTATGTAGCAAACAAAAAATGCATGAGCACAGCAAACCTAGAAAAATTTGTAAGGTTCAAAATGAAGTCATGTCCTCGAAATTTTAAGCAAGCAAGAAACTTCTTGAATGAGAAACAGTATGTAAGGGGATTCAAATATAACCAGAGAAAAACATGAATCGTAATTAAAAGTAGGAAGTAAAGGTAGCAGTAGCACTTTGAAAAGCAAGATCTCTGCAGCTTCATGGATTCATGTAAACATGAGATACAGTAGCAATGTCAGTTCGCCTTCAAGCTTTAGTGTAGGCAACACAAGCCAGCACTTGGTTAAATAGTGGTATTTGTTTACCTTATTTTTTGTGAAATTAAACTCCATGTAATTAATTTTTAGTTTTATTGAATACTGGCCTTGGTGTTGTTTTGTTTTTTATTATTATTTTTTACGAACTATAACAAAAAATAAAAATTTACGTTGCTTAAATGGGGGAATTCACAACTTTGCCACGCAATATAAAAAAAACGTGGGTCATATTTTCAAAATCTGAATAGAGTGGGCTTATCTGGAGGCAATTGTCTGTCGATGGCCGCCAAAATCATGAAAATCGGCTCGGTAGAACGTTGGAACCACGCGTTACCAGATACACAAATTTAGGAAGTCTCGGAGCTTATCATGGGTGGCGGTAGCCACCTCCGGACAAAGTCTAAACTCGACAACACTGGAAAGCCTCCAAACGAAAAAAGGTGGCAGCCAACCATAGACACACGTAACTCCCTTATTCTGAAAATTGATTCGGTTGGAATATTATAGATACTATTCAAGGGTGCAAACTCCTTGAAAATCCCTCGATCTCAGGGTAGCAGGCTCGGGGTGCACAGCTGCACAAAAGATCGCTGCACACTACTGGTCGGAAATGGTGTAGACCGCGGCATAGAGAAAAAAAAGGAGGTGTTTGCATTTCGGGCATCTTGGAATTTTTCATAGAGTATCTATAGCTTTGATGACGTCATTGGGTACAGCGACGTTTTTATCCTGTCGATTTTCTTGGAAATGGTGTAATTTAAGGGAAAAAGTCATTCTATAAAAAGTGCTTGAAATTAAATTAAGAGTTGATTTAAGTAAAAAAATCGGACATTATGGTCCGTTTTTACAGCGTCAACATAACCCTCAACGAGCGTCTTGTTTACATTGATGACGTAGGTGGGTACAAATCCTCAAGATGCAAACACCTCCTTTTTTTTCTCTATGAGACCGCGGTAGGTCCGGCACAACGTGCAATGTGTGAAGTATTCCTGCACTCATGTAGGCGCTATGTGCTTTCCGCGCCGACCAGCGACCGTACTATGTTAGACGCAATGCGTGAAGTATTTCTGCAGTCTTGTAGGCGCTATTATGCGTTTTTCGCCGACCGGTATAGCCGCACAATTTATGATTAGAAACGATGATACAGCATTATGGTTTGAGAGAAAATGTAGAAACAGGAGAGATACTACGTTTGAATGCCCGGGTAAAATTGATTAAACTATTCTTGCAGAGTGCAGACAAAATATTCGAAAAGGTAAAGAGTCTTCAGAAAATGAAATGAAAACAAGGAGCATTCAAGCTAAGTGCGAATACATTTATACCCATGAAAAAGACTCACATCGGAGGAAAATGTTGACGTCAAGAGCTTTAAGAGTTTGAAAAAGAAATAAGGGCAGATTTGCGCAACCAAGTGAATAGGTTCTCACCTAGGTAAAACCCATTTCTTAAGAAAATGGAAATTCTCGAGGACGAATAATTTGCGAACGATTACAGTTTCAAAAGGTCATCGATTTTCCCGCCTTGTGCTCTTGCTCTCTCCATTCAAATGTTTTTTGAAAAGCTGTAGGCCATGTTTATATTTATTTTACGCCTAATGTTTTGATGTTGTGGTTATGTCTTCTGATTGATCTCCTAATCAATCTCAAATTCAATTTTCTCCACTTCTCCGTCCATCGAAACAATTCATTTAAAATTTTTTTTTAGCGTCCACCCTCAGCCCAATCAGGTAGCCTATTTTCTTCTCAATACTTTTTATTTCCTCGTCTGTTTCCTTCAGGTGAAGCCTCTGAAATATAGGTCAAGATTCCTACATGTTTCAGATGAGTATTCAAGTAGACGATTGTCTAACGCACTTTTATCTTGGTGTAATTTCTTGTGTAAAAATCAGTTTTTCATCCTCTATAGAGCATCTGGTAAATTATAATTCTTGATGTCTTACAGTATTCGTGGATGGTTGAGTTTTGCCGCATCATTATCGGTGTGTCGCGACTCATCTGAATCTACTTGTATCTTATCGTGTAATTAATTGTCATGTGAATTGATATATAGCCCAGATGTTTCCTCAGTTTTATCATCTTGAAAGCATTTGTTTCCTCTCTCATCAGTTGCATTCCAGTTCAGTTACTAACAAGAAAATTAACGAGGGCCCAACTGGCCACAGAAGTACCAGGCTTAATGAGTTAGGTACCCTGTCCGAGCCACCCCCAAAAATGGACATGGTTTAGATAGATCTCCCCTTTCAAGTAGATTTGGAACTGCAGTTAATGGGCTATTTTCCTGGCTGTAACTCTCTTGTCACACAGATCAATAACAAAGTCACATGGCCTAGTAATATTTATTCAAAGCTGTGAATGGAATCTGTATTGCTTGTCCAAATATCAACGGTGTAAGTCGGCAATCACACAACTCAGTTTGCGATGTCGCAGACTTCCTGCCATACTTTATTTTTTAAACAGAAAACTACTCAACGGCAATTCTTTAAAACTGCCATGACTTTTCTTCTCTGTGCGAAGAAAATTCTGCAAAAACTTCAAGGAATGATGTCAATTTGTTCTCCTTTAAAAAAATAATGTAGAGGTGGAGATTTTTAGATACCTCCAAAGAGATATGTGATTGTGAACTTCTGCCGTCAAAATGAGTGTGACCCCCTGTAGGAAAAGCAGATGATTTACAAAAACTAAGATTGACCAAATTGATACCTAGTGCTAATTTTACTCAAATTCGAAATTTTACCCATGCATACCTGCATATTGAAAGAAACTATGACATCAACAGCATTTCATCATTTAATACAATTTTCTAGTTACCAGGTAATTGCTCTCTAAAAAATCATAATGCATGTCTGAGTTGTAATTTTGAATTTCCTCTTTTTTTCTAAGATGATGATGTAACTCCTCAAAAGTCACCTGGAATCGGATGTGGAAATCTATCTTCATCTCTGACACCTTTCCAAGTAGTAAATGGACACCTAAGTAATCTTTCAGGAATGAAAATACAAATGTAGCCGAGTTACCACGCTTTCTCAGAATGGGGGACAGTTTAAAGCCCTCTAGTTCTGGATCTGCCACAGGTTTGTTATTGGGTCAATTATCTTACTATTTTTTTGACAGTGATTACCTATCCAATCAGTTCTTAAATTTTCAGACTGTATTCAATAGTATACTAGAAATACTGGATTATTTATAAATTAGACAGAGCTAGACAGTGTGCTTGGCATCTTGCATTTAATTCAGCAGGTATTATAAATCAATTCTCTTGATCGAGATCATTTTGATACTATTATGAATGTATGTTGTCAAACTTATTGTCTCACCGTTAAAACAACTTGACCTATGTCAAACTGCCACTGTCAATGGTGTTTCTAAGCGCATATTTAATACTGTTTGATGATTGAGCGTTTTTGCAGGCAAAGACCCCCTACGATGAGCAGGCGATCGCAGAGCGGGAGTAGCTGGTGGAGCGTGCATGAAGCTCGCTCGGACTCATTGATTATGCTCTGTTGCTCTCTCCTCTCCTCTACTCTTTGCTCATAATGGCGCCAAGCACAAATTTCACTCTCAGAGAAAAATTAAACTGCTCAGCTCAGGGAATTGACCTTTTTGATCGAGATTAAATTTCTAAAAGAGTTCAAACCAAGTACTAACCAGGGTAATTCTCAAAATTCTTTGGCAAGACATTTTTCTGATATAATTTAAGGATTAAGGAGGGAAAATCTTAGCATATCTGGAGAAATCACAAGCTTGTGTGGGGGCCTCGCAGCGTTCTGAGGCATTGAAATCAAATCCTAAACATACCTACTTACATTTTGAATTTTGATGGAAAATAAGGGGGGGGGGAGGGGCTTCATTTATATCTGAGCCATGGGGATGCCAGATGATTAGGGATGAGTTTGAGGATTTTTGCGCACAGCAGAGGTGCACAGAGATGTTTTCAGCAGCATTGGGGGAACTAGTTAGGAGGAGGAGGGGAGAAATATTACCCTCTCCTGACTTCAAGAAATATGAGGGCTTTTGCTAAATTAGCTGTGTTGCCAGACTTTCATTGTGGAATTTATAATTCTACCAAAAATATTTCCATGTGAAGATGAACCATCAAGCTAAAAATTTAACTCAGCATTCGCACAAATTTATCAATTTTTTTTTGTGGCACAATGGTACAACTTCTGGGAAACATCCTGTAAAGGTAACGAGGCACTTAGCATATTTTTTGAAAAATTTGCTAAAAAAATATCTTTGCACATTTCTGCTTTTGATAACTTATACCTACAAAAGTTCATAACGATCCAAAAATGGTGAATTTTACCAGTTAGGCATCAAGGGGTGAAATATGGGAGCATAAATATAGCATCAGGTACCTAAGATGACATATCAGTGAAATCAGTGAATCATTTGAATCAGTGAATTCGAAAATACACCAACTCGGAAAAAAAATTTTCAGGAAACACCTAAAACTTCGCAGCAGGCGAAGAAGTTGGTTTAAGAAAAACCTTTTTGATGCCAAGGGACGCAAGAAGTACTCTAGAGACTTTAAAGCACCAAGTTTCAGACACTGATTTTTCATAGTCTGCCCTGAAAAATTTATATTTTTTGACCTGAATAACGCTTGAATATTTATATAACTTGTTGGCACAAGGTATACTGAACCGAAAAAAGAAAACCGCATAATCAGATAGTCACCCGTTTCCCTTGATCGGCCAAAAATTGGTATTTCCAATGAAATTCTTCGATTCTTCCCTTTTCCCGTCGCTGTTTCGAGCACTTCCGATTGCAATTTCGAAATATCCTTTTGCGTGCAGATGCTTCTACTTATCCATAAGTGTTACTAAACCGTAAAAAAGTGAAAATCGAAAAAAACCCGTGTTGGAGTGTTTCCGAACTCATTGATTCATTTTACATTATTGGAAACATGATTATTTGGATAGATAAGGTGGGGAGACGGCAGACGATAGGATGGGTTAGAGTAGGTATTGGTTAGAGAGTGCTCGAACTGCTCGAGTTCCCGTTGCGCCACACAGCCATCTTGCCTGCTCATTCGAGGGGGTCTTTGCCTGCAAAAAGTAAACATCCTGTTTGATACTAAGACATGAGGAATTAGCCTAATCAAGAAGCTTGACACAATTTCCAAATCCTTTGTTTTTGCATAAGAACCAAGTCCTCTGAAACTGGAAGTTTTCTATCATTTCCTTATTTTTCATAGTTCGCAACAGGACCAGGTTTAAGAGAAGCTTTGGAGTCTACAGTTGGCATATTATGGATAAGAGACAACAAGTTTCAAAAGTGATGTTCTTTTCCTCTGCTCTGCAATTTTGTTATCCAGAAGACGATCTGGGAAGTCAAATCACACAAAACCGAGAAGCATAAAGAAAGTCACTCAAGAAGTCTGAAGTCAGCTAAATTGTTTATCCGCCTTTGGCTCCAAAAATAATTTTTAAGTTAAAAATGTGTACTAAAGTACATATTTTGAAACAGCATGTAAATGACGGAAAACTGTCTCCTAGATTCTAATAGCACTATCACGACATTGTCTTCCAACTAACAACATTTCCATGTTATTAATTTTTACAGGGAATCCGCGCAACAAAGCTGCACTAAAGCCAGGATGCTCGCTGATGGATTGGATTCGTTTGGGAAATTCTGGTGTGGATCTCACAGGCGTGAATGGGGTTCGGAGAACTGTGTCAAAAAAAGAACTAGCTCGTCATAACAAACGCAATGATGCTTGGCTAGCAATTAGAGGTATTTAGAAATTGGAAAAAAGCAGTTTTGATTTTTATTCTTAGGCTGTGGTTAACTTAAAGTATGGGGGACTCAACTTCTCTCTGCATCCTAATGCTGTGATTCCCAAACTGAAAAAATTCTGAAATTCTCTTGTGACTTGCAATCTATTGATCATGGATTAATTTCTAATTGAAAAAAAAATTATGATAAAAAAAAGGGGAAGAGCATAAAAGAAAACTTTAACGCATGCTTTGAAGAACTCTCTCCCACTCTCCAAACTACGAAACATTTTTATCAGACATGTTTTCATTTTTTTTTTTTTTTTTTTTTGCAGGCAAAGTTTATAATGTCACGAGGTACATGGAATTCCATCCTGGAGGGGAAGAAGAACTCATGAGAGGTGTTGGAATTGATGCCACCAAACTTTTCAATGATGTAAGAATCAGTTAGTTTCATATCACTTTCATAATGATTCTATAAATATAAAGTAGAAATAGCTCTTGCACGACTCCAGTAGACGTTGGTTTTGTTTTTTAAAAGTATACTATGAATGGGATTATAATAAGAAGGCTCAAAAGCCTGCCTATCTAAGCTTAAGTTTTGATGGAAGATTGTGCTAGGGCTAAACTAATTTTTAATCCACCGTCGTTAAGAATTATCTCGGTCCATTTTTTGCATCAAAATCACAACAGGCTGTTGCTATCGGCACAGCTTTAGCTCCCCAGTAACCGATCTACAGTCGAACAAATTCAAGAGTATCACATGTTACCATCAAAAACATTTGATTCTACCCAATTTCAGAATTGTATTTCATACAGTTAACTTGGAAATTAATGTGAAATACTGAAATTGATACTTGAACAAGAGCTAATTAAACTGCTAATGTCAAAAGAATGTTGATCAAGGTTATTCATTCTAGGTTCTTGACATAGTCGAACTGCATCGCCTACTATCACATCGATTTAGTCGAAAATCTTCAAATGTTAATTCACCTTTTTAGCCCCTGGATATGAGCCTGAAGGAATTTTCTCCAGTAAAAAATTTACAAATTTAGAGAGACAAAAGCATGATTCTTTTTGAAAATTTTGAATTTGATGTCCGTATCGAACGGCATAATGTTTTCTCAGAAGAATCCTACCTTCATTACTTTGAATTTTGGCAGTTTTTTTTTAATGGAAAATTATTTTTGAGGCTCATGTGCAAAAACTTTCGTCCATTTATGAGTTAAGAAGTCAAAATTTGCGAAGATTTTTTACTCTTTGATGCGATGCAGTTCAACCACGCGAAGAACCCTGGACAGATCACCTTAGTATGAATTATAAAAGAAACAACATAAAAATAGTTTCAAAGGAACTTACCTATTATTGTTTCACAAAAAGACACCTTTTTGTCATTTACTTTTTTATTTTGCAGGTTCATGCCTGGGTGAATTATGAATCTCTGCTTCAAAAGTGCATCGTTGGCTCTCTAGGGGAAGCAGATACAGAGGGTGCATTTATCGTTCCTAGAACAAAAAGTAGTGGTAAATTGAGTGCGGCATCTGGTCAAAATCCAGCAAAAAAGCTAATAGAGCAGACAAGGAACATTAGCATTGCAACCAATGCTGTGTGGAGCTCCTCAGATTGGTTCCAGCAGCTTACTTTTATCTGTTTAATTTTTTATTTGAAAGCCACAGTGATGCAGGTTTGTTGATATATCATAAGACAAATATCAAAGTTCGGATTAAAAATGAAATTAGATAAGTTTTATTGAATCTCAGTCATTAGAATTCTTGAATGAAATTTGTTAATCATGCAGTAGTAAAATTCCAGATCATTTAAAATTATATGCCCTGAAGGGCCACTTTTCAATTTTGGCATAGCATTGAAAATACTGAGATCGATTTGAAAAGCTGTTCCATCTCAGGAAAATAGGTATGATTACAGAAGCAGAAACAAATTGATGGTGAAAGTAGAAAACACATCTCAGGTTGATACAGTGCAAATTTATTGTTGTATTTTTTTTTTTTTTTAAAAAAAAAGATCAGAGAGCACTTTTTTCTGAAATTTTAAGTGTTTCAGGTTGGAGGGTATGGATTTGATCGATATGAATCGTACGACACCGTTTTGATCGACAACCGCAAAATAATCGACAAACCTGTGAATCGATCGACAAACCCATGAATCAATTGAAAAACCCATGAATCGATCGACAAAAGCTGTGATTCGATCGACAAAAGTCGTGAATCAATCAACAAAAGCCGTGAGTCGATCGACAAACCCGCAAGTTGATTGACAAGCCCATGAATCGATCGAATTTTGTTGACAGAATCGGTGTTGATTGATTCATGTCGATCGACTCACATTTTCATTTTTCGATCCATTCATGTCGATCAAATCCATACCCTTTTCTCAGGTTCACAGTTTTTCCTAAAATTGTTCATTATTAAAATAGAGGAAAATAGGGGAGAAATTGACTCAAAGGAGAGGAATGGTGCTGCTGAATTGGATCATTGAGTGCTATTTCTCGTTGAAAGCTATTTATTTCAGCAACTTTAAATATTTCGCCAATTTTCATCGGCTATTTGGCTGGTTTTATCGTGAAGCTTATTCATAAGCTCACTTTGGTCAGTAGTTCCATTTATACATTCATACATCTGAAAATTCTCCATTGGTTAGTGCTACTGATGTAGCTATGCACAATAATTAGAAGTATACCGCAGCAAAGTTAGTAATCCTGCATAAAATAAGACCAGTTTTCACTTTGTATTGAAAGCATTCAAGTTTGTTCTGCCTCCAATTTTAATTTTGGTACATTCCTATCTGTTTTAGCTACACATATCATTGACTGAAGACTCAAATCTAATTTTAAAATTAAATCAAGCACTGCACAATGTCAAACTAGAAAGCACAGTTCGGTGGCCTTGCAAAGTGAAACTGAATCCAACAGTTGGGAAGGTTGAGTTGGAGTTCAGGAAGGTAGAATCAGCACTGTGGCGGACGTTTGGTGTGCTTATGAAAAATGTTCCCAGTGAAATTGTGAGCTCTAGCTGGAAAATGACTGTGATCAAAAGTGATAGTATCACGCACGATACAAAAATTTTAGTTTTAAAGTACGTCGATTGTGTATACAATTACGTTCCTGTTGGATGCCATGTCATGTTTGAAGCAGTTATTGATGGTAATAAATCATGGTTCTTCTTTTCTGTTTGTAATTGAGGCATTGGGTGCTGAAAGGGTATTTCCCGGTTGGGGTGTTTCAGAATCTCCATTTCTAATTTATGTTTTAGAGAGGAAACTATTGGATGAATTTTCTAAAATGTTTCGTTTTCAGCCATTAAAAGCATAAATAATATTCAGTAAAAGTTTCAACAAATTACATACATTTGCTTTAACCACAATGGAGAAAACTTTATTGGAAATTTTGAGACACAGCAACCGAGAAATGCCCTTTCTACACCGAACACTTTAATTTGATAAAAGAAATCTTAAAAAATTGATCTTATGAAGAAAATCCTGAGGGAATCAATTATGACACTAAACTTGATTTTGAAATTTAGTTGATAAATATCAGAAAGTTGGGAAAAGTTTAACCCATATCGAAATAAAGAAATAATAAGAAATTTAGGGCTTGTCCAATACCACATTAAGGAGATCCAGGAAAGTTTCAGGCCTGTCAGATTTGGATTCTTTACGAGTCGATCATTTATGAAAGCACTTGTTTTGTGGACCCTAACTCCACATTAGTGACCTAGAGCTTTATCAAGGTAGGCTTTGTCCGTCAAGTGGAGGGGGTCAATATTTTAGACCAGATATTGGCTGATTTTGACCTTTATGGTACCAATTCAGGTTAAAATTTTCTGACTTTGATTAAGTAATTTCTAAATTGAGACAATAACCCCATCTCGCAAGGGGGACTAGCAGTACTCTAAGATTCTGAAACTCTGACTCTTCATTGTTTTTGACCTATACTGTTTTGAAGTCAACAATTCAAGGATTGCGGTTTTGTGATGAATTAAAATGCAACATTTCTCTCTATATTGGTACGAAATGGAACCATACAGTTTGTTACTTATTCTTTGGGGTTTTTATACTACGTTTCAGACAAAAATTCAAAGTTTGATTTTTTGACACAATGTGACCAAAATTACTCTCCTCAAAAATTTACATCCGAGCACTGAAGTTTCTCTCTTAATAACAAGGCTATTATATTTTAATCATGATACATTTTTCAAAGACACTCACTTACTGAAAGTTCAAAAAATTAAACTGATGACTAGAGGGCCACGTCCCCCAACCGCTTTGTGGTCCAATCCCCGGATGTGCTTCACGCCTTTAGTGTTACGCGTTACTCTTGTGATTTGATATAATAGAGTAAGATTTTCATGAATGGAGTTGCAACTAATCCTAATTAATATTTGAAATACTTATATTGGTGGCTAATCATATTTCCATGTGTTATTTCTCTGTCCAGGCAAGGTTGTTGAAAGGCCATACACACCAGTTGTGTCTGTTCACCCGGAGTATCCAGTTGAATCATCTATTGAGTGCCTGAATTTTATGATTAAGTCTTATGACAATGGTCTTCTTAGCAAATGGTTATGTTCTCTGCCCACTGGTGCTGTAGTCAGTGTTAGTGCACCATTGTGCGTTTTCAATCCTTCCCTGTTGAACGGAAGGAAAAAACTTGTGATTTTAGCTGCTGGAACTGGCATAACTCCTATGTTCTCTGTCATCAATTGGGCTGTGCATACATCTTCACAACGGTACATAATTTTTGCGGTATTTCTTTGTATTTTATGAGCCAATTACCTCCAGGAAAAATCAACTTTCCCAAGCACATGAAATATCATTGATGTTGAAATAGAAAATTTTGAACCTTGTAATAAATATATATTCTACTAAGCAGTTTTGCTGTGTAAATTTAAATAAGTTAATATGTATTAACATCCCCCTAATAGTGTGGATAAACTCTAAGAATATGCAATTTTAACGAAAGCATTTTCTAATGTAAAGTCATTAGGGCAGCTTCTGAGCCATGAAGTGTAAAGTGTCAGTAAAAATTTCAACATTTTTCAAAATGACTCCTGGATAGGTATGTACTTAAAAAGCACTGATAATTGGACCAAGGCTCAAACATGTTTTCCCATTTTTGTTGTACCAATACCAATAGTAATTTAACTTTTTTTTTTTTTTTTTTTTTTTTTTTTTTTTTTTTTTTTTTTAATAATTATTTCAATTTTCTCCATAGAAGTAATCATTTAACAAATAAAGATTTAAAAGAAAGAGAAAAATTTAAGATCTGCACATAGCAACTATAGACAGACCTTAGTCTAGACCCTGCACAACCCTTGAAAGACATTTATGAATCTGGGTTGACAGCTAGAGATATTGAAGCTCCAAAGATAATACGATTATACTCCAATAATACGATTGAAATTCAAATTTAAACACATTTTTCCTTTGACAACTCTATTTTGAAAGAGAGAGAAAGGAGATATGGTTGAGGGAATGAGCAGCTGTAATCTTGTTCAAGTGTCACAGCAGTTTGTCTGCAGTAAATCATCATCATGATCATTGCCCATCTATCTTGTAATTCTGTGAGATCTTTTTCTTAATTAAAAATCAACTAAATTAATGTTTTGAAAACATTATATAGATTACTCAAAATCTTTGGTTTTGTTTTAAATCTCATAGTTTAGTAAATTTTGATGGGGAATGAAGTAAACAAAATAAATGTTGGAATAGGCAAAATGTGGGTTCGATGACATTTTAATAGTTTATCATAGTGGAAACGTTGTAACAGGAATTTACGTAGTTGCACGTAGCAAATACGTCGTAGTAGTACATAGGCATTGATAGAAATGAGATAGATAATGAAATGTCTATTGTCAACCAAACTCTGTGATGTTATGTTTCACTATTGTTATCTCGGTTTTGTTGCAGGTTATCTGTGAGCGTTATCTTTTTCAACAAATCTGAATGTGATATTTTATGGGGAGAACAATTGAACAAATTAATGATCGATAATGAAAGGTACCTATAAACTTGATTTTTTCAGTGCCCTCTTTATTAATTAGCATTTACACATCAATTGATCAATAGAAAGTCTCCATGGCTCATTCAAAATAGGAAGGACACAACTTTAATAACAGCTCAGTAACTTTTTTTCAGTGAGCATTCGGGAAAACGAACGGACGAAAACGAATCTGTCAGAGTTTATGTATTTCATCTAGGCTCACTGCAAAAATGAAGATGGCCAATACCCTGTTCTCTTTTAAGGTGATTCGATGGACACCTGATTTTGCGTCAGAATGATGTCCTGTATATAGCATTGATTGGTTCCATGTTTTCAGCTACTTATCATTTTTATTGAATTTTAAGATCGCATTTCTGTTGTCACAAGAATAAAGAATTCAATCACCAAATTTGACAAGCAAATTCAACATAGTGAAGGCAGGATTTTTTTTAAAGGTGAAATATTGCGTTCGATACTGATGTCGAAACTGCACCCGAATGCAATATTTATCCTTTAAATAATTGTTTAAAAAATTATGTTGAATTTATTTGTCAAATTTGGTAAGTGAATTCTTTAGTCTTATTATAACAGAAATTCGATCTCAAAATCTGATAAACATTATAAGGAGCTGGAAACACGGAACCAATCAATGTGATGTATCACATGTCGTTCTGACACAGAACATGACCTGTGAAGTCACCTTAAGAATTGGCTGACCAATTTTGCAAAATCTATGATAACAAAGAGCAGAAAATGTACATTAAATGTGTATGCTTTTAAATCCGTCAAACCTTCAAACAGTGCTACATGATATAATCATTTATTTTTCAGATGTTTGTGGTCCTCGCTTATATATTTGTGCTTTCCTCTTATTTGTAAAGATTACTCAGGAACATTGAGATTTTATACATCACTAATTCATCTACCAAAACACTCCTTCAAAACTAATTGTTTCTTATTGTTGGTCATGAATGAAAAGCAATTCAACTTTAACAATACAGCTCGAGTAAATGAGAATCTAAATTAAAATAGCTCTCCACTGCTTATCAAATATTAATGTTTTTTACTGTTTTCACAGGTTTAAAGTTGAAAATGTTTTATCGAATGGAAGTAGCTCATGGACAGGGAAAAGAGGAAGAATATCAGTGGAAATAGTTCAATCTGAGTTACCAGACCGGCAAAACAGCGGTGAAGACAATCCTTTCACTCTAATCTGTGGGCCTGTTAATTTTAACCAGACTGCTGAGTCGTAAGTGCATTTTTATCAATCTTCAAGCCAACTTGGTCAAATTTTTTTAAACGTAAAATTGCTCAAAAATCCCGTTGAGTATAAAATAAATATATCTAAAATCCTTTCTTCAACGCACCATGTGCTTTCGCTATTTCATGCTCTTACAAATTTACTGTATCGGTAAGCATTTTTTTCTCATCAGTCAGAGATTAAAATTGCCCAGAAAGATCCGCAGGAAAACCAAACTTAAATTAATGACTAATCCCAAAACTGTTTCTTATAAATTATTTCAACAGTTTTCAGGTGTTTGTTTTATCTTTATATTATTTGTTGCAAAAACAAATACTTTAAAGTATTTGAAATCGTATGTGAGAAAGATGTGTAACAGTTTGCAAGATTGTTTGATTATTTAGGTCAGTTTGTCTTGCATCTTTGTCTGGGCAAACCTGCTTGCCAGCAGCCAAGGAAAGTGCCGCAGAAATTAGTAAATTTAAAAATTCTTCACATGAGAATGCAAATAGTGCTTCAAGTAGTGAATTTTAGGAATTTCTGATTTGCTTGACCTGATTTTGTTGTGTCTTCACCTGTAGAAAATGGACTTTGTTGACTGTGAAGCAAAGAGCAAAAAGATTAAAGTTAAAAAAAATAAAGGAAATTGAAGAAAATAAAATATGTATAACATAGAATTTATTGGTTACAATGGTGGACAATATCTAATGTATCTGATTCAGGCTTATGCAGTGTGTGCCAGAAATGTGTTGACTCATAAAATGAGTCATTTCAATGGAGCTTGACTTGACTTTAGAGACCGCTGAACTTTATTGTTGTTTTATTTTTAAACTTATAATATCTCTTTCTTTTTCCCTCCCAGAATCCTCCAGAAACTTGGTTACCAGCATGAGGATTATTACTGCTTTCACTGATGGCGACCAATGGATACTTGCATTCAAAACACCATAGCATTTATTGTTTTTATTTTTTACCGAAAGAATCATTATTGTTTTTAGGAATCTCTGAATACTCTAAGAACCGCAACAGTTGTAGCAAAGCAACTGTTAGTGTTAAAGAAATTTATGAAGTGTACATAAGATCCTTAACTTTAAATTTAGATTTTACTTGTAAGTCTAATTGAAGAAAAGTTGGTAAATTATGCTTATGAGCAAATTTCATATTTTTATGATAATACATAATTTGTCCTAAAAACTTAAGGACTAACAAGCTGGTCAACGTGAGGTTATTTTCTCTCTTTCTTTTCTTTAAGATTTGAAAAACGAAAAGTTAGAATTCACTATATTCAATACGCCAGTTGATATACATATACACTGTTTCTGTTTGATTTTTCCATTTAGTGTTGGGACGAGGATTCAGATTCAGGATTTGTTGTCAAAATTCTTGAATCCAAATCCTCCAAAATTTCAAAATTCGTGCTATGAAGCCGAATCCCTAATATCGTGTCTTGATTTCATTGATCTCAAATTTAGACTCATTCCTGAATGTTGTCGAACAGTGAATATTGGTGAAAAATAAAATTAAAATAAATAAAAAAAAAGTACCAAGTTTCTGAAAAGTGAAGGATTCGCGATGGATGGGGATTCGAAAATTCAAAAGCAACAATTGGAATTTGGGTTCGGATTTGGGTAAAATTCGACCCAACACTATTTTCAATCTAAACAAAAACATACAAACGAACAAATAACCTCTTCATTATAAATTTTCTTCATTAGTACACAACATAGACTTTCGACCTAAGGTTGTGTTTATATTGTAACCAGTGAACATCAATAGTCAACAGACTGATTTAGTGGCTACGCCATGGTTCAAATGTAAACAAACCCATAACTTTGTCTCTGATTTGCGCCCTTTGCACCATGGTGGTGTCTAACTGTCTCTTGCAATAAAAATGTATCGTATTTAATGAGTCCTTAATCGACTTATGGCCTGTCAATGACAAAATTTTATTGAATTAACACAACTAACTCACACTAAATTTGTACATGAGGTCATGTATTTGTTTTGGTTGAAACCACTGAGTTTGATATTATATCAGAATCAGATGCCATAGTCACTAAATCAAGAACGCAAGAGTTTCCATTCGACGTCTGTTGGTGCAAGAATGACTTGACCACTAAATTAGCCACTTATCAAAAGGAAACATTGTCGATCTGCTTGTCTAAAGCCATTGTCTGGGTGTATCTCTTTAAAGCTGATAGCCTACTGGACGCCTTAACTCCACTTGTTAAGTTTTGGGAATGCACTGTTATAAAACTGATAACATTATTGGTTTTCAGGGTAAATCGGGGAGGCAATTTATACTCAGTTTACCACAAAGGAAACATTTTAAACTATCACTAATCTTTAAAATGTCTTGATTTTTTTTGTTTTGTTTGTCCTTTTTTAATCCTTCTTTTTGGATCAAATATTTTGGGTGCTTTTGCTCTGCTAGTTGCGGTTTTGATTGTTTGTTTTTTCTTCCCCAGTCTGTGAAAAATTAGATGTTGTATTTAGTTTATTTTTATAAGTGTTAAATACATGTTTTTGTATGCCCATTTCGGCATGAAGAGAGAAAATTCAAATAAAATATCAGTATCATTGATTTTGAAGTCAGGGCTCCATTTTTCACACCTTGATTATTTTGAAAGGAAAATTATTTTTTCTCGTGAAATTCTACCTTTTCCAAAATAAAGTAACTTTTACCTCTTTCACATTTTTTCAAGCTTCAAGCATGACGTTTCAAAACTTGTTGTTAACTTTTAATAATTTTACGTAAACAAAATAAATATTTTGCGAACATTCCCCTTGAAATATGCCTTAATACTATCTTAAGTGTTCCAAAATATTCGGGAAGTTCTGTGTAAAACACTTAATCTCGAGTATTTCTTTAATATTCAGCTAATTCTAACGTTGTCTAAACCGAACACATTCCTGAAAAATTCAGATCTTCTGCAGAATATTCAGAGAACCTCAGAATTTGCTTTTTTCAATTTTTACAAGTCTAAGACGTTTTTCAAGGTGGAAATTTTTTTAAACAGTATTATCACTCAGATTCGTTTGAAAGTTACGGTTTCGACAGTTCTCCGCCTAACCATCATCAGTGACTGATGGACAGTTGGATAGTGAATGGCCGAAACAGAAACTTTTTAACACATAAGAGTGATTACACTTTTTACAAATTTTTATCAACCTAACAAATCAGTGTATTTTCCTCTCTCCCTACATTAACTGTAAGAAACTTTTTTATCATCTAAGATTTAGTCATCAAATTAAGTTCACCTTTTGAAGTTTTTAGCATTATTGTAAAATACTTTAAATGCCTAAGATTTCTGATCCAGAACCAATAGTCCCATGTGTTTTGAACATTTTTTATCTGTTTATTGTAATATTTGGTGGAAACAAAAATGCAAATTTTGGCTTCCCTTTTTTAAACATTTTTTATGTTAATTGTTTACACGTGCTGACCATCATTTGTTCAAGTGATCAAACTTTTCGATCAAATCATAGGAAGCGTTTAACAATCTTAAAAGAAAAGAGGTGCTTCTTGGAAATTTTCATTTTTAAACCTCCTCAAGTGTTCGATCATTTAAAACATTCTTCGCCAAACTAGGTGCTTGCTTGAACTTGGCAAATTGACACTTTTGTAGGTAATTTTTTTCATTTTCCATCGCCATAATAAGAAGTATCTACAATCAAGTTTTGGTGCGGTTAGTTTTAGATGCTTTAAAATTTTTCGTAAGTGCTGCTGAGAATATCTTTCTCTTATAATTTGGCTCAATATATGGCGTCTAACACTGACACGTGCGACACGCGTTCCATTGCGTTGTTCATTTCATTGCATGATTAAATAAGTAATTGATTATGTTCTTGATCAATTTAATTTTTTTAAAATGAAGATAGGCCATTTGTTCCTTTTGTCAAAACAAAATGTTTGATGTATTGAAATAAATTAGTAGGGATCGATGCATTTTGAAGTAGTGCATGAATAAAGAAAAAGATCATTCGAGAGAATGGACTTCAAGAGTTTATGTCCATCAATGGGAAAGAAGAACTTCCTTCCAAAAACTCGAAATTTAAGTAATTATATTGCTTAATAGAGAAGTAACAGCAGATTATTTTGGAACAGAAAAACATCCAAGAAGTGTAAACCAAACTAAAGTCAAAGTCTTTTGAACTTCATAATTCTGAAAATGGAGCACATTTCAAGTAAAGCTATTTTCAGCTTTGGGACGCATTATTTTTCTATTGTTGTTCTTGTTCCTCTTCACATCCTCCATTGGCACTAAAAAAGGATTGAACTGCTTGCATCCCAATCCTCCGCATGAAGTGGAGTATTTTCCACCAGAAATTATTATTCCAAGTTTTCACTTTAACTTCTCAAATATCATCCTAAAAATTTTTTTGTGTGTGTACCAATGTCCCCTATATTGTGGAAGGTCATATTTTAAGAAAGGGTAGGAGACCAAAATTCAGAGAAAAAGTCATGATGAAATATCTATGAAGTAAAGGCATTCAGGTTCTTCATCAATAATGAACAACTTGCTTAATTTCAGCAATATCTGATAGTGCCTACCAGATTTTGTATTTCCACTTATCAAAACTTGATGAAGTCTTTCAGATTTTGGCTCGAATTCGTTTACCTACTGGATAAATCCAGACAAGAGGTAGCCCATTTGGACTGCATTTTGCAAAAAGGAACCAAGAGCATTGCAATGTTATGCTGAGATTGTGCAACTTCTCTTGTCTTGGAAGAAAAACCTGGTCATCTATAAACACTTTCTATTTCACACGCTAAAAACTGTAAATTTAAGACCAAAATTACCATGTAAATTTCATATTTTTGCATGATTACAGTAATTTTATTGCAAAGGGTGAAGTCGCACAATCTTAGCAAGATGGCAACGCTTTTGGTTCCTTTTTGCAAAATGCAATCCATTTGTGAATGATTTCTGGCAAAAGAACAACAAAAACCATTATTACGCAACAGTGCCGATGCATGCAGTCTGTCATCTGTATGTTGGTTTTTAGTGAACTTGCTGAGTTTCCCACAATGAAATAGATTTTCAGAGAACTGCTAGTTCAAACTTAAAAAAATTTCATAAAGATCGAGCCCAAAGTATAAAGAATCAGGCACTTTCTACAGCTTTGGATTATCATTTTTCGCTCCTTAGATATGATCTACATGAAGTTACTTTTCGGATGACCCTTGAATATAGGTAGGTAGCTACTTTAATACTTTAGGTAGGTATTTCTAGTCTACCATTGTTTATTTGGTTAAGTACCTATTTTGTTAAAAATGAAAATGACAAAGAACCTTGAATGAGGAGCACTGGATGTTGAAATAGCTTCAATTCCGTTGTATTTGTTTAAGATGTTGACGTTCTTATAACGATGTCTTACGATCCATAGAGCTTAGAGATCCACAAAGTAAATTTTTATAATGCACTCCTTAACTACTCGATACTTTAGCTGAAAATCAATGAAATACCGATTGTGCACCTATGCAACAGAAAATATGAATCTAACATAGGTACATCACATTTTGTTGAGAAAAATGCATTGTAAATAACAAGTACATACTTCTGTTTAAATATGTTCTTTAACGTAATTAATTTGTTAACCTGCTCCTCGCAGAGACCTTTTTTGTGATCTCTGCTTATGACTGTATGACTTAAGAATTTATCTTGTTTCTCTTGTGAACTTTCACTCATTGCCAAGCCATTTTCCTTAGCACTTCTCTGACCCTACCCTGCTGTTTAAATTAAAAGTTCCTTTTTATATATATAGCAGAGTGGAGGGAATACAAAGCTCTGCCTCATGTTCATGCCCTATTATCTATTATCTCCCATTGAATCCAAGTTTGCACTGTGATATACATATGTTTTTTTAATACTAATTGGCTTGGCTTGATGCTTTTTGACCAAATTTTAACTTTTAATAGTATCAGGCAGGTCTAAGGGGGAAATTTAGACTTAACATTACTCTAAGCCTTTGGCAACCTACAGAATTTTATGACTTTATTTTGTAATTCATCGCTCTAAAAATGAATTCATTGTGATGGCTTGAAATTTTTGTCAGGAATAAAAATTGATCCCTTTTCATAACAAAAACTGGTGAAAATCTTCTGAATCAAGGAGAGACTAAAAACTTTTTGATTTCCTTACACGCAGGGCTATGATGGTCTGAGACTCTGTAGTGGACTCAATTAGAATTCCCGAAATTTTATGGTCACAATTTTGAGTTAAAAATTGACCAATGAACTAACTACAAACAGTCATGCATGACAAGCATGTTCAGTTATTGGTCATCAATTTGGAGAGGTCAGAAAAAAGTAGGGATGGGAAATCATGTGCTAGACAAAACTTTCGTCAAGGCATGGCAATGGGTCATGGAAATTATAGAATTGTGGGTTACATAGAGAGAGAGAGAGGGAGAGAGGGGGAGAGAGAGAGAGAGAAAATTTAACAGAAAAAACTTCAAACTTTAATAAAAGAAATAGTTTAATTCTGACAAAAAATATATAGATTAATGAGTGTAAGAAACAAATAACAGTTGTCGCAGTGGTTGCGAACAAGATGCAATTTTACATTTTTTTGCTAAAATAACTACAACTGTCTCTAGTCTGGTAGCTGAGTACATTTGTTAAATGCACCATGTTTGTTACATTCGACCACCTGTTACTGAAAATACTGAAAGGTGCTTGAAGTAAACAACCTTTTCCACTTAAAAAGTTTCAGAAAATACTTTCTTTCTTCTCACTTCATTATTTTGGGCACTTCAATCAGAAAAGTTTTAAGTTTGAGTAAAGAATGACCCACTTTATTTTTTCCTAGCAATTGGATGGAGTTAAACAGAAAGGAACCAAGCCACATCGGGACCAAACCGAGAGAAAGGGGTTTGAAGTTTGGCTCTTGCGTAAGACTCAATGTAAAAGATAAACTTCAAGTTCAATTTATGCAAAATTTGCTCCAACAAAAACTTTGAATTTTTGGCGATTGATATGTAGTAGAGCAGTGGTTGAGGTCAAAACCAATCATAACTCAATTTTTCCCAAAATGTGGGTTGATTCCTTTCTGCTTATAGTCTGTCCCAGATACGAAGAGCCCTGGAAAATCAGAATAATTTGCACTATGTAGAAGCAAGGTATCGTTCGTTCTATTGTGTCCGACTAATCACCGAGCAAACCCCGCACCGTACAGAGGGTTGGTTATGAGCTCCGCGGCGCGTCGGCGTCTTACGCCGGGAATCCGCTCCTGGACCTCGGGGAAAACCACCGCGGAAAGATGCGAAGGGAGTATGCGTTGCCTTGAGGTGACTTGTGGCCCTCTGTGCGACGCATGTGAGAGGCGACGAGATGACAGGTGACGAGGGTCCAGGCACCCCAACCCGCCAAATAGTGCTAATTACTCTGATTTTCCAGGGCTCTTCGTATCTGGGACAGACTATAACTCTGTCCAATTGATCCTCAAAAGATAAATACATCCATAATTAGTAAATAATATTCTGAAATTAAAATTTAATTTTGGAAAATGTGTATAGAGAGCTATGAGTATGAACAACCGATGAGAACAACAACAAAAATTGATTGTATGTTCCTTACTGTTCATAAGCTAGCCAATTATTTGTGATCCTCATTTGGGGGAAAAGTGAATTCTTAAAATGTTGAATCTTTTCTCCTTATAAATGAACTGTGCAATAAAAGTTTTTGTTTCTTATTTGGAGTTTTGTGAGCTATTAATATTTGTTTTTAGAACAACAATTTGCCGAAAAAACAAAATGGAAATTTGTTGGACACATTCAAGAAAATTGGAATTTTGTACGGTCATATTCATTTTCACCTCGCAAGAAACTGAATTATATGTGCTGTGAGTGTGAATGTACAAACATGCTAATATAGGCCTGAGACTAAATTCACCTATTAAAACAGCTATAACCACCAAACCAGCACTTGCAGCTACTCGGAGAGATCATCTAAAATACAAGGGGCTTCTAAAAAATAGTATTATTTTGCTTAAACTCCAAGACTACTGCTTAAAAATCAATGTGATCACAATAGTTTCACCAGTCTTACTCTCGGAGCTCTTACAAGGTTCTTCAAGATTACTGAAACTGGCTGAGTCGAACACCAGTATTGTCACTTTTTACGGAACGTTCATCTCAAACGTACCTTACTGTCATAATTTATTTTTTAAATGGAGAACCACTCAACCTCAATTCTTAGAAACTTCTGTGATTTTCCTCTTTGTGCAAAGCAAATTCTTAATTTCAAGGGATGCTGTTAAATTGTTCTCCTTCAAAAAAGTAAAATTGGAGCTGAGATTTTTAAACACCGGAAACGAGATACATGGTTTGGGAGTTTCATCATTGAAACATGATCCAAAATATGTTTAATTTTGAAACAATCATCAAAACAAATTTGTTTTATTTTTCTCTTTAGAATTTATCTCCATCCTCTCTCTGAATCATAAATTGATTGAAAAACAAGAGAAAAGCAAGATCAACAAACAAAGAATCAAATAATTATAAAACAGTGAAAGATAAAAACATAAACAGAATAAAAAAGCACCTGTACTTGCTAAGTGATTACAAAAAACTATAAACTTATGGTAGTTTTGTGTCCTTTGAAAGGTATCACATAAAAAATATAGAAATCAAGGTGTTTTAACGTAGAGCTTAATTGTAATCAACTTAACATTAATTTTCGTTTAAAACGAACAAATCACAATGTCCCTAAGATGAAATCAAAGCAAATAATGCTGCGTAATAAATTTGATCTTCACTCCTGAAAGAGGAGAACTTACATCTAAACAGAGCTTATCTAAATATCTCATGCACTTCAGAGTAAAGAGGTGTAAACTTGTAATTCATTCAAATTAGCATGAGTAAAATAATGCAATTATTTGAAATTCCAGGATTATTCAATGGACAAGATTTGGTAAAAAGGTTGTGGCAATACGTCCCACTCAAGAGCTTCACGGTGTTGATATCGGAAACTAATAACTTGGTGTTATTTCCTCGACTAGTTACTGTGAGATTAATCACTCCCAAATTTTGTCTTCATTTTAAGAAGATATAAAAAGCTGCTTTTGATTGGCTTAATTGGTTGTTCAGATCATACGATCCCTGCACCAAGTAAGAAATCTGATCATGCAAGAAGCCAATCATGATTCCAGCTCATGGTTAGAATGAGTAGTGAGGAGGATCGAAAGATCGAACCAATCGGTGATTCTACTTCATTTTAGCTTGATCTGATCACACCTGCCCTATGAATACTACATTTCAATAGGACTCTGGAATGAAATTATCTTGATCCTCCTTAAATACATTTCAAATCTGCATAGCGTGTTCTTTAGGTGTGTGAATTGTCAACAAAATTAGTCAGTTGTGCGTGTTGTGCAATCTTGAACAATGAAAAATACTGGGCATCATAAAAAAATGCACACTTGGAATTTTTGCCATCCTCATTCCTAAGGCTGTTGGGAGCCACATGGCCTTTCATTTTGTTTATGGTGCTTCGAGAAATTACTCTAGAGAAACAACAAAGTATCAAAACTTAGACTTGACCCAAAATATCTTGCGAGTGTATAGGAGGATATTTGTGAGTAAATACAGTCCTTTCTATTTAACAATTTGAACCATCATCTCTCTATTTCTAATCAAAATATACCTATTCACCTCTCAACCGGTATGGTTCTGGGCAATTTTATTCCTGAAATCCAAAAAAAGTTTGATCTGTTGGCGATGAACATTCGTAAAGGGTGCATGGAATATCCAACAATCCAAAAAAACGCTGACAGAGCATAAAGAAAAATGCATTGAGGAGTGCATCTTCTCACTTTTCCATCAACGGTTGGATACTAAGTTACAAGCTGTAACCAGGTAACCTGCAACGATACCTACTTCAATTTTTCAGCTGAAACTTTTTGCCAGAATGAAAATGAAGGATCAATTTCTCTTACCAAGAAAACAGACAAAATGCTAAGTTGAAACCTCAAGCCATGGTATAAAAATAACCAGAAATAAACTGTGTCAAACTATATCACTCAACAAATTTAAACTAAAATACAACAAATTTGTAACAACAAACACAGCGTATTGAGTGCGGATCATATCCATCTAACTCAAATAAAACTAACCAAACAAAAGTTGATAATCAATAAATAAAGCTCATTTCCCATCTAACAAATTAAATTTTCTCCATAAAATTCTGTTTTTCCTAATTTACTCTTTGAGACCGGCATATGGATTTCTGTTAGATTGCAAAATTTTCAATGACATTTCCGCAAGATAACACTCTGAGAACAAGGTTCAGAAAGGTCACTGAAGATTCATGTATCCATAGAGATAATAATGGTCTGTACTTCATTTCATGAACACCTACAAAAACTTTTGCTAGTTTTTATTGAATAATGGTTATCGGGCAATTCTAGCATCAGCTGTATAGAGATCAAAATCATACCTGCGGAACACATGATGCCGATTTTTTGTGGTCAACAAACTATAAATATTTTTTTACGCATGCTTCATTATGCACATTAAAGCTGATAGCTGCTTGTGAGACTGGCAAGTTTCGGCAAAGGCACATTGAAATGTCCTTGATTCTCAGAAAAACTCTTGTGATTGGAGTGAATACATAATGATGGGTAGCATTTTGCTCCGTAACTGGAGAAATATCAATTGCACAGACCCTTGTTCTTAAATTAGTTCAATTTTTACAAAGACCGGGATAAACTCATCCTAAATTTCAACAGTTTTCTATTGAATGATGAATGCACACTGGTGTACGAAAATTTACCTAACTTGAATAGGTGCACTGACTTTTTTGGTAATTGAAATATATTAAGTAACTTTACATCTTCAGAAAGTGCTTCTGATGTACATCCAGTCTCTTTGAATCAACATGTTAGAGAAGGCTAACTTTTTTGGTCAGTTAGCTGGGCAAAACTTTCCTCAAGCCTTACTACGATGCTGTTCCCTGAACATGCTGATGTTGAAGTAGAATTTTTGCCTCCACTATTTACAGTAGCCTGAAATCATTTAGAAAAGAGAGCACCATGCAGAGATGTCATGACTTGAAGGCAAGAAGCGGTTTACTTCTACTGAGCACAAGGGTACGCTTTTGTAAAGGCAGCTGGGATGGATTCTGTAGTCTTTGAATTGTTGATCAAACACTGGCCTAGCAGCTCTGGACATGAGATCCGACCAGACTGAACATCAACAATCTTTGATAATAAGTCGTAGTTTATTATCTCACTTACAACAGAATCTTTCCTGTAAAACAAATACAACACCAAGATTATGAGATGGAGGAATGGAAATTTAGCAGAGGAGTAAAATATGTAGCGGTTGTGATAGAGGTGTCGTCAGCTAAGTTCACGGTTGTTTACTGATGGTTTGCAGGCGTTTTCATGTCACTACTATGCACATGAAAACATCAGACTCTTGCAGAAGCAAGAACACTTACTTAGATAAGTTTTCTAATACTTTAAAACCTTGTGACACTTGAATTTTTAGCCACACAGAAATCACAACTACATAAAAGTCGCGTATCATAACTGATAAGTACTAAGTAGTTTCTTTACGATACGATCATTAGACGGATGTTTTCAAGGTGGATAATAGCGAACACCGCTTTGAGCAGAAGCCCTAATTCGTCGTTGGTGCTTGCAAACCGAAAGTAAACAACAGTCAACTTAGCTGACAACACCTCTAGTACATCCAAAATTAGTGAGACTGGATTTTGAAAAAATCAGTTACCATAACAAGAATGGACACATCACGTAAAATGATTAATCTTTAGAAGAATAACACAAAGCTCTAACAATAGGGGAGAGAATTAAAAAAGAAATCACTTCTGTTGAAGTAGGCACCTATGGAATCTTCATTTTTTTTTGCATCTCATTGCAAGTAAAAAACGTTGCGTTGCGATGTCAGTTAATTTAAGTTTAAATTTGCTTCAAGAGAGCAATTTTCAACTTTACAAACAGTGATTTTTTTTTTGAGATTCCGTCATGCTATGAAACAACATGAAGTTTCATTTAATAAAAACTTTCATTAGATCTCACTTAGTTGCCTTGTTTGAACAAATTTCGCCTTGATGCAAACAGTTTTTTATTGACAAATGTTCATGGAAAAAAGGGCCTTTACAAATTGAGGCATCAGAATTCCAGTTTTCAATTAAAGAGACTCCAGTATCTGAGAGGGTAATTTACAAGCTTTTTGAATCATAACTGTGTCGACAGAAGGAGAAAAATTTCTCACAATGCTAAGTCCTAAATGGACCGCGTCCAGCAGAAAGGAACCAATCTACATCAGCTATTGCCAACTTTAATCAACCAATTAACTTTTTAATAAGAGAACATTTGTGCGGATTCATTTGAAAATTTTAAGGAATCTGCTTCGCACCATGCAGAAAATTCACTGAAATTTGACAAAACCACGCACAACCGTTGCCCACTTTAATTCGGCAATAGTTGATGAGGCTTGGTTTCTTCCTGCTTGATGCGGTCCAAAAATGGAGGGCTAAAACTTCAAACAGACTTTTCACGATTTTGCAATTTTTGAGCAGTGGTATTCTAACTATCAGAAGTCCTATTTGGTTCGACATTTCTAGTCATGTTTTGTGTCAGAATTTTCGTATCTAAGTAACTCCTCAATGCAGTGTTACCAACAAATCATACTTTTTAGAAACATTATTTCAGAATCTCTGATTCTAATTTATGGTTTTGAGAGGAAATTTACGAATGAGTTTTCTGGAATTTTAAATGGAACATAGTAAAATCATAAAGGATGTTTGATAAAAATTTAAAGCTGGCTCTCTTCTCCTGAAGATGATTGAATGTTCCTGTTGCTATTTGTTTTATTGACTTGACGAATCTTTACAGATAATTATTAATTTTTTAATATTTTGTGCTTGGTACTCGAAGGCTTGACAAACAGGGCCATGCCCTAGTCGTTAGTAGAAGAAGAAGAAGAAGATAAAAATTTCACCGAAAAATATATATTCGATATCCTTTATGATGGATGAAATGTGAGGAGAAATTCCAAAGCACTGCAACTGAGAAGTGCCCTTTCTGCACCCAGCACTGGGGTTGTTAGAAAAAAAACAACAATTTTCTTTACGCTCCACAGGAGACAAAGTTAGAGCAATTGCTCTTGTAAAAAAAGTTTCCAAGAGTGACTTTAACTTACTTGTACTCTGGATGCTTCATGACAAATTGCCGAATCCAGCCTGCAGTGGTTAAAATTTCTCCACTTGCTCTCCTCTGAATCAACTTTAAATATTGCTGAATTGTGCAGTGCGTATCTGCATCAACATCCATTCCATTCAGGTAGCTATTGATCAGAGGTACAAGACCTGGGAAAACAGAGTCCTAAAACAGAATGATTCATTAGAATATGTTCACATTAGGAGAAATTGTTGACTTTGAGAGCAAAAATCACCTTAAATTCAGAGATTTTTACAGAATAAAATACAGTGGATATCGGATATAACGACCTTGAAGGGACCAGCCATATTCGGTCGTTATAGCCGATAGTCGTTATAACCGATAGTGGAATTTTTACGCACGTACCCTATGTTAAAGAGCTGAGAACAATGCTGTGCTGTAGGTGGGATTCCAGGGCCCGGTGAATTTTGCTGCTGATTCATTATCTCTTTAGTAACACCTTTGTTTATTAGCTTTATCTAATTTTATTTGAATTGAATATTTATTTAATTCATTTATTTTTTTTTATTTTTTTATTCTAGGACTAATTTTAATTAAAACACTTTGTTTGAATTTGTAAAAACAAGGTATCTATACTATAAGCTCCAAGACCTCCTAATTTTGCGAAACTGGTAACGCTTAGTTCCAGCGTTCTACCGGGCCGATTTTCATGATTTTTGCGGCGATCGACGGGCAATTGTCTTTAGATAAGCCAACTCTTTTCAGATTTTCAAAATATGGCCCAGGTTTTTTTATATCACGTGGTAAAGTTGCGGATTCTCCCATTTAAACAATGTAAATTTATACTTTTTGTCATAGTTCGTTTGAGCGTTCTACCGGGCCGATTTCCATGATTTTTGGGTAAATCGACAGGTAATAGGCCCTAGATGAGCCCGCTCCAGTCAGATTTTGGAAAAAGGACCCAGGTTTTTTTAAAATCACGTTATAAATGTGAGTGAGTTTATAGAATGCTCCGGTACTGCTACCGCTATGCGCGGGAGGATGCGCAGTGGTCGAGGAGGTTGCGCAGTAGCTGTGTAGCCTGCGCATCAGCTCTACACTTATCTACACAAGATTCGCACCATAGCCTCACGTCGAGCGGTGACCGAGTCGTCTAAGACGTCGTGTGCGTCCATTTGAACTCAGTGTAGGTTCGATCCCCGACTCATGAAATATTATTACTTGACTATCATTGTTCATCGTTTTACTGCAATATTTCATCAAGCAGTCATTCCAAAACGCGTCCTTTTAATTTTAAAGTAATTTTAAGTAAAGTTTAAAATTAAAGTATACCTCATATCGTAATTGTTTGGGGGAAAAATAAAACTAACACTGATAGGAGGGTAAAAATAGGGCCGCGAAGCGGCCCATTGATGGCGCGGAGCGCCTTCAGGGGGTTGGGCCGCGTAGCGGCCAGGGGGCGTAGCCCCCTAGTTTTATAATATTGAGATTACATGCACTACACACTACATTATGTTTGCAATACATATGCGCAATACCGAAGATGTATAAAACTTCCAATTTGAATAATAGTCCGTGATTTTTTCTTGCTTCACAATTGTGTTCGCGTACCCTTTTTGTAACGCTCTATGGGCCGAGCGTAAAGTGTGATAGAGTGGAATCGCTCCGTTCTGGGTTCAAAATTAGGAATTTTTGAACAGTTGTGATGGCTTCTAGGGCGTCTGGAAACGAGATCCTCTCCTCTTCGGCCTCTGTTGCTGTCGCTCAGGTCGTTATAACCGATGACCACATCTGTTGGGACGCGAAAACTCCGTCGCTATGACCGATATGTCGTTATATGCAATGTCGTTATAACCGATACATAAATACATTAAATGAATGGGATTTCAGCCGGGACCGACCAGTTTACGTCGTTATGCCCGATATGTCGTTATAACCGATGTCGTTATATCCGATATCCACTGTAATGCATTTCAATAAACAATATTTCGCTTTAAATTTATCTTAATGTAAACCACAGATTGGAAATATAAGTGAAAGGAGAGAACGTTTCAAAAATCGCATTTTGCTTACCATTTAAGTGATTATAATGGGTCTTTTTTATTATTATTCCTCCTTTATCTTCTGAACTTTAATTTTTTATTACCGTTAAACATAAACAAGCACTATGCTCTGCTATAAGCCGTTTTTTGGGCATGCTTTCAACATGAATTACTCAACATGAGATACTCACTTTGCCGTTGATTATGTCATTAATTGACATCTGAGCATAGTTCGTAGGGTCTGCGCAGCAGACGTTTTTATCAGAGCTTGAACCTGTTGATTTACTACCAGAGGAGTCACCTGCTGACTGACAATTATTTTGCACATCGTTGCACTTGGGCATTGTTAAATCAGTGCGAAACCAGAAAACTTCCTTTGTTACAGCTGATCTTTTTTGGGCTTTGGCCATGTTCTCGTCAACCTGAAGAAAAAGTCGGACCAAATTTATCATTTGAAGGTACAATTCGGTAACTTAGAATATACTTGATGCTGTTGTTATGTTAATCAGGAAATGCAGTTGGATGAAAAAATGGGAGGATTAAAAGGGAAGATTTAATTGTGGTGCACAAGTCGATATATAGCTAAGTTATAAAAGCTGATTTTAAAATACATATTAGATAGAACACGGCCACATATGGAAGTTATAAGATGAGATGCACTGCATCTTGTCTCTTGCCACAAGAAAGAACGTACTTTGATTGCACGGTTTCAGTACGCCTTACTGACATTCAATTTTTTTTACAAGAGAACAATCGTATGAATTTGCTCACAATTTTCAATGATTTTTCTTCACGCTTGCACACAAAGACTAGAATTTTCAAAAAAATTTGTGCAATGGTTTTCCGATGAAAAAATAAAATGTTTGTATAAATACTGAAACAGCGCAGACAAGATATGTTTTTTCCTGCAGAATACGCATTGCATTTACGAAATTTGCTTTTTAAATACACAAAGGGTTACTTGGTTTTTCCCCTGCTTGAATTTGGAAATTTACTTGGTGTTTACTGCTCACCATATTCTACGTGAACTTTTAATGTGGGTATTTAAATTATGTTGCTTATTTTTTCACCTTGCTCATTACCACACAGGAAATAAGCAAATTCTATTTAATGATTAATTCAGTAGAGATTTAGTTGGTACACACCCTCTTTGATTGTTTTCTTAAACTACTAGCAAAAGGAAGAATGGAATGTTTTGCCGAAAAAGACTTACTTTACTTATTGGAATGATGAAATTTAATTTGTACGAGAGAATGACTCTTGTGAGAAGAACAACGAAACAGACAATGGCAGCATTTTCAAAATCTGTAAGTTGAGCCTCGCAAGGACGAAATTCAACGCGCCAACCAATCGATGAATTGGCTGGTGGGGGTTTAAATCGCATTGACTGCCAATTTGTTGATTGAATATTCTATAAATTGAAAAAAGCACTTGATGAAAAAATTAATATCAGAGGAAGAGATTTTGACACTACTTTACTATACAACAGATTTTCAAAAATTGTTGATGCACAATTATGTAAAATTATTTTGTTGGTATTTTGAGATTACATACTAGACTGAAGCGTAAAATATCATTTAATAACTTTAAAAAATCTGTGCAGATTATATAATAATGACCATTACATACTGCATTTCATTTAATAGGAAGATTAGCCTCTAAACCATTTGCGATGATTTACTTGTTAGTTCTGTCAAGTATGAAAGATGGATCAAATTTGACATAAAGCCTACATTGAGGGACTGAAAATCTGCGGTAAAACTTCAGGATACACGGTTATCATTAATATATTTTTAGAATAAGGTGGAGAAATGATGTTGGGTCCACACCATTTCGCCGGGAAATCAAAGCCAAGAGGTTCCAAAAATTATTATTAGAGTCAAAAATAAATCTTTTTAACTCTAATGAGTATCAGTACAAAACTGAGGGGGAAAAGTGTTCAGCTCAGGCAGTTTGCATTGGAATATTAAGTTGGAGTCTTGGCGAGAGATCTATAACGGTTTGGGTCTTTTTAGACTTCATCAGCAGATCAAATTCATAAGGGTCATATCCATGACGGCATTGACGGCGTTTAAAAGACCCAAACCGGTATAGATCTCTCGCCGTGACTCCAACTTAAAATTCCAATGCAAACTGCCGAGCTGAACACTCTCCCCCCTCAGTTTCATACTGGTACTCATTACAATAAAAAAAATTTATTTTTGACTCTAATTATAATTTTTGGAACCTCTTGGCTTTGATTTCCCCGCAAAATGGTGTGGGCCCAGTACCATTTCTCTACCTCGTTACATACAGTTCGGGCCACTTCTTAGTGTTTTTTTTACTCTCATACATTTTTAGAGTTTTGAATGTGTTTAGAGTAGAAATATATATTTTTTGAGTGTGTGTGTGTGTGTGTTAAAGTCCCTGTGAGAATTTAGAAAGAATTAAGCGCTCATCCTGTGGGCGAGTGGTCTTCAAAGGAAGGGGGAACAAGGGTTGTAATAGCTGATTCTGCGCTATGAGAAAGGATTCATCCTTCGATTTTCTACAGCTTCTTAGAATATTGATACCATTTTCATTTACCTTCAAAATATGTGAAAAAGAATAATTGGACCTAACTATGTCAAACATTGGTAAATTTTCTCTTATGTTTTACTTCTTAAACAGAAACTTAAGACAAATTTAGTCTTAAAATTTTGTGAGCTTATTCTTCATAATCTAGAGTAAACTCAAAACTTTTGTAAGGGCGATAAGTAGTTTAGTTTCCTAATAGAAAAATGAACCATGAGAAAAAATTAGGAAACGTGTAATGCAGCTAAACCCTGTTAAATCCGTCCTTTGAACCGAATTCTATGATTCACAGCACTAGAATCTTCAATAATATGACAACTTAGGAAGAAAACGTAGTTGGATGATTGTACTGAGCACTTACCTCAAAGTGGTCAGTATCAGTTTCATCATTTTGATTTATTTTCTCGGAGAAGAGTGACACAGTATCTCGAATAAACAGATGAGCTATGTGTTTTGCAAGTGCATTATCAATATTTGCTTCTCTAAGACGCTGGTAAATGGATTCATCATACACTAATGGAACATCATTGAATCTAGAACAAAAAAAAGGTAGGAGCGTTAGAATCAAGTAAAGACAACTGAGCAGTCCTTCATTTCTGGTTACTGATATTTTGCTAACTTCATCTAATTAATCATGATTGCTTTATTATTTTATAAAAGACAGGTTGAGTGACCTAGAAGAACAAATTATTTGTTTCTCTTTAAAACTTTAGGATCTGTCAACAACAGAGTGCCGCACAAATGTAAAAGGATTGACTGAAGTCACAGGATCAATACTTTGAAAAATTTTATCATGAACGCAAGTCACAAACATCTTACATTGAGCAAGTCTGCTAAAAGATGATTGGATTGATGGAGCAAACTTTGATGAATATTATATAGGTCCGTCTTTATTTGAATCGTAAGGCACAGGGTAGTAGAGCACAAAGCATCAGCTAAAGATAAGGAAGTGAAAAGTCATGTCAACTTGGTTGCCTGATTAGATGTAAATTTATTTTCCAGCGATGATAAATTAGGGTTCATACACTACAGTAGGTTTCAAATCTTTGAACTTTTCCACGATTTTTTAACTACCTAATGAACAAAACAGTACCACTGATAAACTGGTAAAAACAAGATTAAAAAAACAAAGCGTTTGACTGCTCAAGCATCAGACAAAAAATTAATTTTCGGGTTTTTATTTCTTGAAAAAAAAGAAAAAGAAATTGTTTCCATTTTCCGCAAAAAAAGGATTCCATTTTACATTTGGGGAGATGGTCTCTACAGATTTCTGAGAGGACCCTGTGAGTCAAACTCAGGCCCATCTTCAAATGGCTTACATAATACGCGGACAGCCCCCGACTGATGAAGGCTGTTGATGGTTGTCTAGACAGCTCAGTTCCTTCTTTGAAATTCTTGCTCTTTTCCTGTTTTGTTTTTTAAACCTGGTTTCAGTGTGACAGGCTGCTGTTTTAAAATTTCGTAAATCATAAACTGATAAACCAACACCGTACCACATTGCACATACAAGCGACTAGGATGGAACTAAAACTTACTTTTCGCCAAGCTCTGAGAGGTATGAATCTATCGAATCATATCTTGATTTAGGGATTCTAAATTTGTTGAATCGTAATGGTGCCAAGCCACGCTCTTCCCTTGTGCGACAGTCAACAGATCCAGAAATCACATTCCATCGACAGTCAACATCAGATACATAGCCACGATAGAGTGGAGACGCAGCTGTCAGGGCAAGCTATTTTGTGTTGAATCATAGAAATATACAGAGACAAATTACTGAAAATGTAAAGAAAAAACTTAAATGTAAGCACTGAGCATTGAAAGTCACTTAGAACTATAAAGAAGAATGGACAAATGGCACATCAATCTGAATGCATCAATCATCTAATGGGCCATTGGCTAGCACTTGGCAGTTTTGCTGCCTATCTGTGCATGAAGAGTCCGACTGGAAATAGAGGTAGACTCTTTTCATGTATGTATGTATGAGCTGCTTTTACGGCGCGCTTGGGCGCTCTGCGACGCCTTTTCATAACAAGAGAAATCCCCTCTGTTACAACCTGGACTTCGAGAGCTTTGTTTAAACTTGAGATTTTTTTTCAGTGAAAACCAGTGGCAAAGTTGAAGCGCTTGTTCAAAAAGATGCAGACTCAGATTTTATTGGAATTGAGTTTTTCAAAAAAAAGTAATCCTTTTCTGCCTCCTGTGTTGTTTTTCATGCCTTCTGAATTTTTTCTCTCAGATTTTTCACTTTTTCGAAGTAAGCCTTCCAAGCACTGGCTTCTCCGGCGAAATCGTTCAAAAGAAAAAGCATTCGAATCGTAAACCCTTACAGGCATACAGGAGCTCCATTAAAACCAATGCCTTGGAGCCGTTGGTTACTTGGCAACAATTTAGGACTTCTTTCAATGATTCTTTGCAGTTAGCGCTATACTACAGCCTCCTAGAGCTGTCAACCGATTTGAGAAAGATTAATGCCTTGTTTTCAACGTTTTTTCAGTATGTAAATCAATAATACTGCATGCCCTCAAGAACCACAAACAGGCCAAATTCCATCAAATTCTAGGGGGTCATTTTCGAACTACACTACAAAATCATCAGCGAATTGGTTTCTTTTTCAGACAATGTTATCACAACTGTCAATTTACTTGCAGTCGGAGGCTTTAACTTCAAGAATGAGGAGTGTAATATTATTGTGGTCTTATGATACTTGGGGTAGGAGATAAAGATAAAAAAATCGTACCATAATTGGACAGAGTGGTGTGAGTTGATCATACAGGGTTTTAGCTTCTTCGATGTTGCAGGCCTGTAAGAACGGGAAAATGAGAGAAGTTAAAATTCTGAGAGGCAAGTTGAGAGATAAAAATTAGAGAATTGAAGAAAACAAAGGTGGTTGTTCAAGATTTTTGGAAGTTGGTCGCAATTTGTGATTTATTTACCCCGCGACATAGGTGGACAGAATTCGGCGTCAATATTCAAGCAAAATCCGAATTCAAAGTATTCAAGTGAGTATCGGACGAAAGCAACCCTTTTTTCTTTTCTTTTTTTGCTGAGTTCATCTCAAAAACATAAGTTCAAGCACTTTATATAGAATGACTTTTCTCCATAAACGACACCATTTTCAAGACAGTCAAAGATAAGAGGCGTCTGAACCCACCAACACCATACTGTCCTGGATAGTAATGTCTAGGCTGAATAGAAACTTACCCGAAGATCAAATGGATAGCTCTTCAAAACAAACCTACTATGCTTCATTTCAGTATAATAGAAAAAATTTATTTTAAGCCTTCAGAATCACTGAAGCTACCTGCATCATTTTTATACTGTCACATGCCAGTCAGACACGAATTCGTGGAAACATTGATGCCTACCTGAAATGTTAATTGCAAACAACAACACCCCATGCCAAATCCCATTGCATCCATGTATATGTGATCAGGTAAAGCTGCTTTTTCCCCTTCTCCATCATCTCCAAGGGCTGCCAAGTCCTCCTTAAACGGACTTGGAGTATGTACATCTTTGAATACTGAAATTACAAGAGAATTATATCAACTCTACAGCTCAGATCAGCTGAATCTAGAAATGTAATTTGGTAGTGTTCCACCTTACACTATCAAGCTTTATCTGTCGATGAAATGTATGAATTAAATAAATATATGGACCGCGTTAGACAGAAAGGAACCAAGCCACATCAGTCATTGCCAAATTTAATCGGCTAATTAAATTTTTTACATGAAAACGGTTGTGCGGATTTTCGTGCAAATTTCAGTGAATTTTCTCCATAGTACAAAGCAAATTCCAAAACATTTTCATAGGGATTCGCACAAACGTGTTCTTGTAAACAATTAAATTGGCCAGTTAAAATTGGCAATAACTGATGTGGCTTGGTTCCTTTCTGTTAAACGCGGTACATATATAAATACTATGAAATATTAAATTATTATAAAAAATATGATGAAAAAATGAACATGATACAATGCTGCGGAATGTCAAAAGAAAAGGTCAGGGCGAAAGGAGAGCATCTACAGAGAATTGGCAATGTAACATATTTTACAAAATTTTAAAACACATCTCACCATATTTCATCGTATTTTTTCATAACCCATAGGCTATTGCAAATAAAAAAATGTCATTAGAATACAAATTTAGCTTACTGGGAATATTTATCGCGACTTTTTCTCCTCGTCGCAATCTAATGTTCCTGGTTAGAGTCTTGAACCGAGGGTGATTGGGAAAAATGGCATCATTTGGGAAAAACAAGGAATGTGTGGCACCTTCATTAGGCGTTGGAAACGTTTCTGGCCAGGTAAATGGAATACAACCCAACCTAAAACAAGGCAATTGATTATCCTTAAAAACAAATAAGTACCAACTGAAAGTGTTACTGTATACTCAAAGCTCTCAAATATCATGATCTTGTTAAGGCGGTGGATTCTCAGGTGAGATCAGAAATTCTTTGAGGGGTATTCTTGAGGCCGAAATGAGACCTTTTAACCCCATCAACATAAAATCTTAAGTTATACACCTAAATAATAATAAAAAAAAAAAAATTATTTCTTTATTACAGATACATAAATAAAAACCGATTTTGCAACGCTCTCTGGCATTTAGTGATGTGTAATCACTACCATCATCTACTTCTCTGAAATCCTTTGAGCAGCAGGCACTTTCTTTTCATTGTTGCATCATTTGTTTCTGAGCATCCCCTTTTTTCCTCAGAGGAAAAACCTAATTCAGCATCTTTTTTTAGCCTTTCTTCCATCATCCTATTGCCATAACTAAACTAGACTAGCTGTTTCGTTATTGCTGTGAATATAATGTCACAGTTTCTACATCCAAGTTCCCGCGCCTTCTATATTTGGATTGCACTTTGCAAAAAGGAACCACTAGCATTGCAATGTTGCTAAGATTGTGCAACTTCTTTTGTCTTGGAGGAAAAACCTGATTATCCATTGACAGTTTCCATTTTACTCGCTAAAAACTGTAAATTTAAGACAAAATTAGAATGTAAATTTCATATTTTTTTCATGTTATCAGTAATTTTATTGCAAAGGATGAAAATGCACAATCTTAGCATCATCGCAATTCTTCTGGTTCCTTTTTGCTAAATGCAATCCATTTGTCAACTGGATCCCTTCTAAAAATTAAGCAGCGCATCACCCTCCATTCAAGGAGGACAACTGAATGTTCTTGCTATATATGTTGAAAAGAATAATCATAAAAAAAATGCAAGTGCCCATCCAGCAGTATTTTTTCATGCTCTTTGAAAATCTGTGGTTTTTATTAAAAATACAATTTCAGAATCCTCCACACTCATTCACATTTTATTCTTTCACTTAGTATAACCTTACTGACGCTGTGACATCAGCAGTGGCAAAAATGAAGACATAATGAAATTCAATGGGTTACGTATACAGTTAGTCAAAAGTGTCAACGCTTATGATAAACATTGAATGAGAACGGTGTTTTCTTACCTGGGGAATGAGGTGAGAGACAATATAGCTTCACCGGGCTCTAGTAACTGCTCCACTTCCTCCCGTCGATGGCGCATGTTCGCTTCTACTATGTTGAAATGTGCAAGTAAACCTCCATATGGTTTTCCTGGAGTTCCTTCGATCATGTATGCACCGTACTCAGGTCGCCATAAGGACTTAACACCACTGAAAGTTGAATTGCTGATTAAAGAAAAACTCTCTACATCTCTTCATAGTAGGTGGAAGTGAACTACTGACATCATTAGATTAAACTTCCTATGGACTCTTGTACCGAAAAATATTTTAAACTTGAATTTTAAATGTACAGTTTTTTGGATACTCACATGCAGTTAACGCAATGAATGTCTGAAGATGCCGGCAACAGGTGCAAGTATTAAAGCCTCAATTTTTCATGCATAGTGATTTGAATAATAAGTAATTGCAGCTTTAAAATTTCGCACAATTTTGAAACTAAACATTTGAAGGCTGCACTTCCATAATGATAAAGATAAGTTTCATCACAGTTTCTCCTTCAACTAATATAGGTGAGTGAGCTGTAAATCCAATCCAGAAATCTTACTAGTTCTTTGGAAAATCGCTTTCATTGACCTAAATCAACGAACAGTTATGAATTTAAAATATAAGGCAAGAATAAGGGTGGGTTTTCTAGTATCAGAATATTTTATGGGGAGAAAATTGGTATCTGTGGAGGAATCATGGCAATTCTGCCCAGAGAGACAGATTTCAAGACTATGTCATTCCTGTCCATCAATTTCCCCGAATTATATTTTTGGTTTTGCAGGCACAAGAAAAATGATTCCTTGCACAGATTACAGTCGTAAAATCAAGCTCAGTTATACCATGAGCGTTAAATATGTAAATACGGAAAAAAGGAAACATTAGCTTTGGAGTCTAGCTTTTTAAGGGTAGTGTAAATGTCTAGTAGTGCAAGAAAGAAACAGATCAAAATTAGATTGTTTAATCATAGCATGAAAAATATTTTCATAATAAATTTAGATTACATTTTTTTAAAAAAAAAAGTTCTTTCAAATCAAGTACATTTTAGGGTATGCTTTAAGATCTGATGGAAGAGTAAAGATAATTTTTACACTGTAAAATGCAATTTTTCAGTTCATTCATCATTAGACTCCATGTAATTTTTCAACTTGAGAGAGATGCATTTCACACAAATCTGAATCACTAAAATGTCACAACTTTTTCATCCATCATCAATACATTGTGTCTGAAATGCCACCATTCAAACGAGCTTCATGGTCTTTGTAACCTTCTTTCGGCCAAAATGAACCATTCTTGCCACAAAACCTGACTGAGAGCTGACAAATGACTTATTGCATGAATAATACCTCACTACGTATTAAGAGGCAAAGGCTCTTGAAATCAATAATCGACAAAGGAGATTTGCAGCTCCGTAGGTGGGTCATTGATTTTTAAAAAAATGGCTATCTGAGACGCAGGCTAGCTTTGAGGGACTGGTAGCGAAGGAGGTTGGAGTCTGATGTCTTTAGAATATTTTTCATGTTTTTGATTAGAAGGTTATTGTCTTTCTTGGAGCTCAAGGGACAGCATCCAATTATGACAATTTTCAGTAAAATAATTTTGAGCAATGTTGTGAGCAACTGTAAACTGATCAACATATGCTGACAGTGGGAAAATACAAGTCTATTTTCAATTCTCCCCAAAAGTCTCTTTAAACAGTTATAAAACATCCTGAGAAAACTGCGATTGTGTTCGTAATAATGTCTCCACTCAAATAAGGAGCCACAATAAGAGGAAAATCAATCTTATTGTGGATGGAAAATATTAAAAATTATGACAGATTTCAAAATTAAAATTTGGGATATTAGGGGCTTTTAAGAACAAAAAGAATGTTCCTTGTCAGCCTGCAGCTAATGACAGCATATGACGCCATGTGAGGCAACAACCCATGGTCTTAACCACTGTAAATCCGATGGTAGCCATAGGATTCGTATCATAAACAAATAATTTATTTCAGAAGAAAAGGCAAAAATGTTTACTTTAAACAAGCGCAGTAGGGATATATATAACCTCTGCGGTTCCAATTACAATTAGGATACAATAACAAAAATTTGGCAGTTATGTCTCTTTGTGATATCACAAAATCTGTTTGAACAACATTTTTCCATTTAAAATGAAGTTTGATGACTCAGAAAGTTATATTTTCAACAAAAAATCTGATCCAATCAAAACTAAAAAAAGACAGGTACTCTCCGTTTGTGGAATGCTTTCTAAAATTGGATGAAAAAAAAAAAAAAATTGTGCCCCATTAAGCTAATTTTTTTAACCATTGACTTGAATTATATTTAAACTATTTTTCTTTCAGGGGGGGGGGGGGGTGTTATTTTTCAGCAGCACACTGTTACCATTACGTTTAAATGGCGCATAACTTATAAACACCAACTTGTGAATTCCGGTGCCAGAACTGGAAAGACAAACCAGAAAACTGAAAATTGATAACTTACTCAGGGTCTGCTGCTTCTTTATCATTTAATATTTTCAAAATTTCTGGAGCTCTTAGACTGACTCTTGCAATCTTTTTTTCATGGTCAAACTTGACAACAATGTACTCCACCTGGAATAAATCATGAGCGAAAATAATTATTAATAATTTGAAATGAGTACATTTACTAACTACAGATGAAAAGGAGGTTCAAGCAAAAAAAAAATAAAATTATCAAAAGAGATGGATGTTTCATTTGCTGAATATGATATGAATATAAAATGTATCTTCACCCTGAATGAGCAGTTTTTCTCGAGTGTCTACATACTTACAGGGATTACTGTTCTTCAGATAATAAATTTAGAGGTTATCGGAGGTTTACAATTTAATCTGACGGTAATAAAATATTTTCTTAAAATTTGAGAGTGACCTAAATGTCACTTTACCTTTGTCAGTTACTGATAGTCTTCCAGTTCACATACTTATACAGATGTCAGTACCTACCTTAGAATGTTAAAATAAAGGAGATGCCTAAAATTACTTATAAAGTTGCACTAATAAAGTTCAGTACACACTATTGAAGAGAGGTTAATACACAGCTTCATCTACCTTTTTCAGAGAAACATGGAGTTAAATGAAACATCATTTAACAAAATGCGGAATGCCGAAGGTAGGGTAGAGGACAGAACAATTGCAATTTAGATTCCTACATTCATTTGAAGAAATCAAAATGCAATGGGAAGAAACACTCCTAGTTTTTTAATGTTCAATTTCTGGAGATATTTTCCTGCTCAAGTCTCAGGAACATTGCACAATTAATAAAGAAGGGTCTTTCAAAAATCGAACGATGGCTGTTTAATCCAAAGCTCTGTGTTGTTACTTCAAGTGGCGTCCGATAATGTTAAAAATTGGAAATAATTACCCAAGAGATAAAGCTAAGTGACTAGATAAGTATTCTCGTCCTAGCTCATTAGATCTTATCACGGTAAATCTGAAGGCAACCCCTTCGTATAAGTTTCAGAGCCTCTCTGAGAGGAAGTTACTTGGCTGATCTGAAACCTTCTTTTGATCTTGTCATATTTATTTCAAAATATGAGCTTGCATTTAGGAGCTTCCTGATAAATAACTTTGGTGGTACTTCGGAGAGGGCATACAAATTTACATAAAATTGCGCAAATCATTGGAGCTTGATCGATTTGATAAACACTTCAGGTAGATGAATTAAGCAAGGATGAGTTCAGTAAGAAATACAAAAAAGGCCTGTAGGATACAAAACCGGTCCGATTATGGCACCGAATTCTGTAAAACTGATAGCAATGATAACGATACTTGCAGATAAACACTGAAGCATGTCAAAACTTACTTCATCACCCCATTTGAGCACATCGCCCTCACGGTCTTTCAGACGTCTGTATGAGTTGATGAACTGCGTGATACCGTGCTTTCTAACGTGTTCAGCCAAATTCTTGGTTTCGGTCCATGAGAGAGGATTTCCTTCCGTCAGAAGTCCCATTATCACCCGGAGAAGGACAGAACTTTACAGGAGGGCACCGAGAGAATGATCGGAACTGCACACTCAAGATAGCCGCTAATGATCGGTCATGCCTACTTCAAAACTGTAAAATTGAAGGCCCTACGTTACACTTGCCTACAAAGTCTCTTTAAAACAGTTGGAATCGGTAAAACGATAACAGAATAATTCAATTCATGCTCATTATCACCAGACAGTTGAGGCAATCACTGATGAATCACTGATACAAGAATCGTTCCGACTGACGACTTGGTCGTCGACCAAGTCAACAGGGCACCCCGAAAACAAACCGGATTGATGGATTATCGGGGTGGTTGGTGCTCGTTCGGGGTGCTCAGTTTTTGTAAACAACAATGGCGGCGAATTTTGCGCGCGTATTTTGAATTGACGCTGATGTGCATCCGACGCGACGCCGCCGCGAGGTGCAGTTTTCGCAGGCGGTTTGTTTTCTGAAGCTACATACAAACTGTTGCGATCTTGTTCTTTTATAATTATCTCGTGACTTCAGTTGTTAAAATGCTTAGAATAATTTACTTTAAACGTCAATTGTCAAATTCGTATTTTGTACCCAGAAAAAGTGAACCCACAGTACCTACAGACTACGGATGGGAAGCATTTAATTAGGTACACGAAGTTCGCCAATTTTTCTCATGATCACCAAAAAAAAAAGGAAAAAAGGTTGTTTCTTTCCTTGCAGTTTTTTAAAGGAATAGTTTATACTTACAAAATTAGATAGTGTCACATTAAAACCCCTTGAAAGTCTCATTTAACGGCCAGCCTAGGTAGGGAAAAAAAAATCGTGCTAAGTATATTATTGACAAAGATTAAGCAATTGCTGTAATGGTTTAGGGAACTTAGAATTCATATGCATGCTCAAGAAAGACCTAGTTTTCTTACAAGGGCATTGAGAGCTTGCTCTTCTCTAATTCGCAGGATCCCAATTTGAATCGCTTGTTAGGTAAATAAATTCTTGATGAAAATTTTACCACAGCAGTAAGAGAGATTCTTTATTTTTGACAGAAAATTTAAGTCCACAATTCAGTTTATCAGTTTCGTTCTTGGAAAACGGATAGGTACCTACAGAAGTATTTCTTAAGTTAGATGTGATTTTTTCTTTGAAAATACCTACCCGAACACACTTAGGTACCTGCATTTCCTGAAACTCTCAAAGATTCTTGAAACATTATTTGAACTTTAAAAATTACTTACTTACTTAAGTAGCAGTTGCTTCATAAATCTGAAAAAATTTTGATGGTCGTGATTTTTCCGAGAGGGTCGTGACGTATACCTGCCTACATAATTCATAAAGGTAGGTATTTAAAACTTGTGGTCAAAATCTGTGGTTCCAGTCAATCTAAATTATGCATCCTGTCCTCCTCGTCCCCCCCTCCCCATTCCTTTGCTGTCACCCCTCCCTCAAAGTTCCTAGCGTTAATAAACCTAGGTATACTTATACTTTCAATTCTTAAAGGCAACTAATTGGAGAAGGAGGCCGAAAATATTTTTTCAGATGCATTGAGACTCACTAACGTAAAAATTTAATAAATTCATAAACTGCATACCTACTTACTTTATAAAAGAACTGTTTTATTGTTAGGTATTTGAAAGCGCGCCTTAGTTTATCGTCAAGTGAAATTTACTGGAAATGTCGACAGTACAACTACCAGACCACGTATCTCGGTTTACAACGGCGTGGACTTCCTCTCGTATTATACTTTTTTAGATAGAAAACTAGGTACTCAATGTCAATTCTTATTGAAAACCTCCGTGATTTTTTTATTTTGTGTGAAAAAACTCTGAAAACTGCAGGGAATATATTGATTTGTTCTCCTTCAAAAAAATAAAATGAAGACGGAGATTTTTTAACATTGCAAACGAGATGTGTGGTCTGGTAGTTTCGCTGTCGATCTATGCAGTATTGCCAATTACATCAGGATATTGATCTATGCTGACTTTCCTTTCATGCGTTAAAGAATTTATCTATCATGACATTTTTCTTCAACACTTGCTGATTAATTAGTCTACAGCCTGTTTCAGATTACTTCTCCTCTTTCACTACTTATGTGCGCAAAAAAGAAAAATAATTGAAACATGCTCTAGTAATACTATAAACTATGATTTCTCATGTCAATTACAGCTCAAAATTCATGAATTTGAAAATATCGTACATCTCAATTAAGACTGTAAACTAAATTTCTGTTGAGCAATTTTCAGTAAAATAAGCCAACACTGCCTCGGATTCCTCAAGGACACTAGTTTTGAGAACATTTTTGAATCGAAAATTGTGCTTCAGGGATGTTATGTAATTATTTTTCCATGCTTCTGTCACTTTGAAGAAGGTAATGTACTTAACTCGGGGGAAAAAAAATGTCTAACTCTCTAAGAAAGAAAAAGTCATTTATGAATATAAACTGCTGTCATTTTGTAGACTGAGAGGATATTCAGAGGAAATAAAGGAAAGCAATGAGTATTTAGCATCAGTGAAATTAAAAGGTGTGCGAGTTTTTACCTTTTTCTCCTCAATTTTTAGCAATTAGTATCTAGCCAGGAGTGTTCAGGGTAAGGTGCCTAAATATAAAGTGCTAACTTAAAGCATAATAGCATCTTTTCGTTGCAGTGAGAGAGATACTGAATGATGGAGAAAGGAGTAATGAAAACAATTTTTTATATTTCTTTGGACTAATAATTTATTGAATTTAATCAATTAACACATGACTGCAAAAAAAGTACACAGTGGGAATGATGAAAACATAAAATCCATCACAGACCGATGGTTGGTCACAACCTTGTCAGTTAATAACAAAAAAGAATTCTCAAACATGAGAAGGCATAAAGTTTCAGAAAAAGGTGAAAACAATTCCACGTGGGTTACAATTACAAGAAATATGAACAAATTTATTATATCACAGCAATTAGTTTCGTCATTTTTATACTTACAATAAGCAGAGAGCATAATTTAAGGAAATTAATATTTAAGATTAACAAAATTATTGCAATCATACGTAATTCGAATAAATATTTGACCTACAAGTATGACTAAGATTTATCACAGCAATTCCTTCAGTTACTTTTACATCTCGCACATTAAACGGACATCGTAATTTCAAGAGATCAACACTGAAGCTGAGGTAAATTATTTAAATCACACGTAAAAGGACAAAATAGTTGACTTTCTACTACGACTAAGATTTATCACAGCAATAAGTTTCGTCATGTTTACACTTAAAATTAGACAGAAATCGTAATTTTTTTAAAAAAAATTATATACTTACAATTAAGTAAATTAGTGAAATTATACGTAGATCAATTAAGTAACTGACTTTCAACTACGATTAAGGTTTATAACAGCAACATGTTTTAAAGGATATGTACAAGGAAAATAAAAAGTTGCAACAAAATTACTTTTAGTTACCTGTCAACTGCTTAGTAAGGTAGCAGGTACCCTTGAACAGTTAAATTATTATTCATCACAGGAAATAGTTCCATGATTCTAACTACAAAAACAAGCAATAGAATTCATTAAAAAGGCATTTAATGTACCCTGACCTGACAAATTGTTGAATTCTAATTTGAGAGGAAATATGAAGTTTAGAATGAAAGAAAAAATGTTACTATCACAGAACCTGTGCAAAATGCATTACATCTCAGACAAAGACATTGGAGCGATCCGTAAAAACTACACGAAGAGAGAACAAAAGAAAATATGAGGTAACAGAGTGATCACAAACTGCAAACATTACTATTTACCTCAGAGATACTTTACATCACACACGTCTGAAGAACCGGAAGAGGAGAAAATTCTTGATAAACATTTCCAATTTTATCAAATAAATTCTAAGGCAAAAGCAAGTAAATAAAAACTCAACCGAATAGGAACTTGACTGAGGGATTAAAAGGAACCCATCAATACTTGATACATATTCAAACGGTATGCATTAGTGTTCAATTCAGTATTAATACTAAGATTATTTAAAATCTGATCAACATACCAAGAAACAAAGACTCCACAGTTGTGAGAATCAGATTGTTCTGTATGTTTTGGAACATAAACTTTCCACTCAGAAGCAGAAGTACCCAACTTTTTCGACAAAGCTCTGACCCAATGGCCGATAAATTGGTGATATTGAGATCCTATTGAATTAGAACGTGGGTCTACAAACTCTATTACTTTTGTAAGTGGGTATGCAACCATTAGAACCCAATGATCACCGGTGGGATTACATGGTATAAACATTTTTTCAAATTCACTAACATTTATATTTCGCAGTGAGTCACGTTGCGCGGATTGAATACATTGACTCACGCATGGATCCACAATAAATACATTTGGGACATGGGAGGAAATTCTGATGGTATGAGTATAGATTACACAATCATATAACCATCCTCTTTGAAAGTCAGGAACAACTTGTGATAGCATTTTTTCATCTACAGCACTAATATGGTAATCTAATGATTTTACATGGTACAACTTTATTTCATACGGCCCTTCAACAAACAAAGATTCTGTAACTGCTTCTACAGATGGAATTGTTTTAGTAAAATTTTTGGGGTTTTGGGTGTGGATAAGCGCTGAGTGGATAAGTGTTTTTTCTGAATCACATGTGAATAACTTATGATTTTTGCGCCACTCTCCTTTTTTCTTGGTGGTTCGATACAGAGATTGACTCTCTTGGGTCTTTAATTTTTGATTTGGTGGGACAGAATTCTGAGTCATTGTTGGAGGAGGAGGGAATGATGTTGCGCTTGAAATAAGTCCTTTACATTCGGAAACAAGTAACTTTAACGTTTTATCTACATGAGGTACCAACGAATGGGTCTGTTCATTATTTAATATTAATTGTAATTCTGACATTTGTTTTTTACAGGACGAAAGCAATTTTTCTAAACTATTGTCATTTCGGGAGGAATTCTCAAGAGGTGGCGGATCAAATAAAGTGATTTCATTTAAAGTGAGTTCTAAGGGATCATAAGGAGTGTCAATATCTTCATTATCACTAGAATTTTTTATCATTATGACCGAATGGACTTTATGTATGTGTTTACATAAAGCATTGACATCATCGCAAGAGCATGTGTACATGTGACAACAAAGATGTGTGCACGGTGACTTATCACACTTGATGTAACATACTGCAGGCTCAGTGCAAACAGAAGAAATTACATTAACGGTATAATGAGTGTCCTTTCTTGACTGTGATTTAATTAAATATTCACTTCCTTTAAGAATTACGTCTTCATCTAGAATTAAACTGCCTTTCATATGGCGTGTATTTTCTTTATGTCTTTTACCTAAAGGTGGCTCTTCTGTCAGCCTTTTATACAGTAACGCTAAATGTATATCATCATCTAATTTTAACATAATATTTACAAGATCATCCGCTCTTCTATTAAACTTACGACCTAGATACACAGTTTTAATTTTATTATGGAGCGATTCACAATACATTGTGGTGTCCGTATCACCATGATCAAAATTACGGAAGCACATTGCCCATTTTTCGACTCGGTGACAATAATAGGATGAAAAATACTGACAAAAATCAGGGCAATGGCCTTTAAATGCAGATAAAAATTTTTCAAGCATTACTGAAAAAGATTCAACATTCTTTTCTTCAATTAATAAGTACAAACATTTGGATATCAGTGTCCTCAATTCCTGATCTTTTACTTTGTTGTGGAGCTGAGCTTTCCATGATCTTTTTACATGCCATTTACATAATAAATGAATGGGCTCTGGACCGAAAACATCTGCAAATGAATTATATAAAGCAGGATCATCATCCGTTATGTAGGAATTGACTTTTAAATTAGAAGATTTCAGCTTGATTGCTCTATAAAATGCAGTCATGGTGGCGGTATCGACTTTGTTTGTCAGAAAGTGTGCAACCGGATATCCCACACCATATTCATCGGGAACAACTAAATTAACAAGGTAAAAGTCATAAATGTTTGTGCTGTGTGTAGCATCGACCACTAAAATTTTTTCACACCCCTTGATCATTTCTTGCCTCTGCCTATCATTTTGCAAACCAAGCACAAAAAGATCCGGGTCTGATAGAATGTTATCAACTGACGGATCTCCTACTTCCATTGGTTTGCCTTGCGGTTTGTACAAAAGCACAGAATCTTTATCTTTTGAGGCTAAAGACTGTACAAGTAACTGAACAGACACAGCATCGTTCTTATTTAACCTTTTTTTCATTTTGAATTCATAATTCATCTTACTTATTTGAGTGGTGGAAATAAAATCTTCTTTTACAGGATGGGAGGAAATTGAGTCAACACCATTTGGCGCTATTTCTTCCTTGACTTTCTTGGCAGGGATTTCTTTTTCTAACAACAGATTAATATAATTTTTGGTATCCTCATGCCATCTATAATGCTTTACATGCTTAAACTTAAGCTCATGGTTATGCTTTGAGATATACTTAACATGAACAGCACCTTCAGTATTAACAGTAACAAACATCCTTGCAGGACAATCCGTATTTAATAGGGATTCTCCACCAAACTTTTTTCTAGGCGTTTTTGGAACACTATGAGCGCGAGCTCGGACATCAAATTTACAAACATAGTAATGGGTTGTTCCCGCTTTCACTTCCGTACTTCCTCTATCTTTCACAAACATTACATAAGCATTTCTTTCTTCCTCCTGTTTCCAATGGAAGAATTCATCAATAGAGGCAAATGAAAAGTAATTTATTCCCAGATCTATCTTATGAGTTTCCTCCAAATGAGTGACCATTTGAGAGTGGGTACGAAATAAGAGCTTGCAGCTAGGATCAAGACATTTAATGGATTGTTTGTTACCACTATTGCAAGTTTTGATATGTTTTCGGAATACGTCCATACTAGAATAAACATGGGAGCAATCAGGACATGCGATTTCCTCTTTTGCGCCGTCCGATGTTTCCTCTTTTGCGCCCTCCGATGCACTAGTGGAGGACTTGGAGACTTGACTGCACTGATCCAAGTGCTTCAATAACTCTGGAAGCAATTTACAACTGAAGGCACATCCCTCGTTAGGGCAATGCTGGTCGGAGCGATGAATGGCATCTGAAATTTCAGAAGGTTTACATCTGTTCAATCTTGTGTGATTGAAGAAGGCACTCTTGGTCTGGTAGATTTTCCCACATAGGAGACATGTTCTGGGATATGAAATCAGTTCTTTCGGGCCACCACCATTGACATCTTGTCTCGGCTTAGAATCAACGCAACAGGACCTGGGGAGAAAGAAATTAATTGTAAATTAGAATCAATAGGTTAGGTTATACTCGAGGTTAGGTTAGGTTAGGTTATTTAAGTTGAGCTCAAATTTAGTGGCTTTTTTTGTTTTAAAAAAAGGTCGTAACTTTATATTATTGTTATATTATAGGGCAACCCCTAGAGAGGGTATTTTAATATAGTATAAGCACTGTCCTCCCTCCCAAGCAAAATATGCTAGATATATAGCTATCTATATTAGCAATTCCTAATTTTTGAGACTAAAACAAAAACTGCATATGAGACTTAACTTACATTTTTTATGGCTCTCTTTCTGATTCACTTGTTGGTTCAGTAGCAAATTTTATAATTAGTTCAGGGCTTGAGCGACTTAGGGGTGATCGAAATTCCCGACTTAAGCGCTATACAATCCGAATAGGGAAAAAAGGTGGCCAAATTGCATGTAGATTATGGGAAAAATTTTCCGCAGCCGTAATTCCAACGGGAACATGGCGCTCAAGCCCTTTGAATATTTGCATCGTTAAAATGCCTAAAAAATCAGGTTTTTTCTCATTCGGGTCGGTGGAGGTGCATTCAAATACGCACTTGCATCATCAAGCACATGTTTCCCTAAGTATTTTTACACGAGGAATCGATTTTACTGGTCTTTAAAACGATCTATCGTTGTATTTTATCGATATATCGATTTTTCATCCGATTTCTGAGAAAAATTTGGTAATTTTTAACATTAACTGTATCAAGTTATATTAATTAGTGATATATAGGCAAAAGTTTTAATGCATAAGTAAACTAGTGTTCACATAAACTTTTATACACAAGGTACTTACCCTCAAAGCAGCGTACACTGACCATTCTTCAGTTTGGGTACTAGATGATGGCCGGAATGCCGGGATTCTCGGCGTTGCAGCGATCGCGTTTCATGGCTCATCAGTCGAAAAAACATTTTTTTCGAAATCTGACGACGGGTGTTTAGTGAAGATGAGTTGCCTTTTGGCATCAAATGAGGAGGACAAAATCCTGGCTCCACAGGACAACACTTTCATCGAATTCTCACACATCTCAAATTTTCGTTTTTACCGTGTTTTTTTTTTCCAAGATAATTTCTGGATGATAGAAAAGACACAACTGACACGTACCATACGTGTTTTCATAGATAATTTGAGTAAAGGAATCGATTTTTGTGGTTGAAAAATTAAGATATCGATTTAAAATACTTCTTTTAATGATCTATCTTTTTGCAAGGCGCTGAAATTTCTGTATCATCAAGGGAAATAAAGTTATTTTAGGACTGAATCGAGATGTATGTGGAAACTTATGTATGTATGTGTTAAACTTTTATGAATCGTACCTTAGTTGTCAACATTTCTACGTACTTTAAGCAGGTGTAACTTCGGTACTCTTTGTATTTTTTCAGGAGGAATGTATTTTTGAAGTCAAAGTGTCGATTTATCAAAGACTTGCATTGATGAATCAAAATTTCTTGGGATATACACAAAAAAAAAAATCGATTTTTCGGACGAAGTATCGCAAGAAACGATATTTTAAATCGATATCTTAATTTTTCAACCACAAAAATCGATTCCTTTACTCAAATTATCTATGAAAACACGTATGGTACGTGTCAGTTGTGTCTTTTCTATCATCCAGAAATTATCTTGGAAAAAAAAAACACGGTAAAAACGAAAATTTGAGATGTGTGAGAATTCGATGAAAGTGTTGTCCTGTGGAGCCAGGATTTTGTCCTCCTCATTTGATGCCAAGAGGCAACTCATCTTCACTAAACACCCGTCGTCAGATTTCGAAAAAAATGTTTTTTCGACTGATGAGCCATGAAACGCGATCGCTGCAACGCCGAGAATCCCGGCATTCCGGCCATCATCTAGTACCCAAACTGAAGAATGGTCAGTGTACGCTGCTTTGAGGGTAAGTACCTTGTGTATAAAAGTTTATGTGAACACTAGTTTACTAATGCATTAAAACTTTTGCCTATATATCACTAATTAATATAACTTGATACAGTTAATGTTAAAAATTACCAAATATTTCTCAGAAATCGGATGAAAAATCGATATATCGATAAAATACAACGATAGATCATTTTAAAGACCAGTAAAATCGATTCCTCGTGTAAAAATACTTAGGGAAACATGTGCTTGATGATGCAAGTGCGTATTTGAATGCACCTCCACCGACCCGAATGAGAAAAAACCTGATTTTTTAGGCATTTTAACGATGCAAATATTCGAAGGGCTTGAGCGCCATGTTCCTGTTGGAATTACGGCTGCGGACAATTTTTCCCATAATCTACATGCAATTTGGCCACCTTTTTTCCCTATTCGGATTGTATAGCGCTCAAGTCGGGAATTTCGATCACCCCCATTGAGCGTTCGCAGCTGCACTGATGGCAGTGTTGGGGCGAGGGACCGTTTCAGGCACAAATGCGAGCATATTTTAGGGGGGGGGGCGTTTGTTTTGAAGACAGGAAAAATCTTAAATACAAGATTCCCAGTGCAAGAGTTGTGACTCTTTCCTGGAGAGCTACAAACTTAATGATGTTACGCTGCCGCAGGCCACTTCTCGGAGAGTTGTGGCGGCAAAGGATGAAATGCTGTCTGCTGAGCATCATCCAGTCATGCTAAAGATGCAAGTTTTTACGATTTTAGAGTATTTTGAATGTTGAAACATGAGGCCTGACACTTAGGACGTGGGAAAGGCTGAGTAGACACGCTGCAGAAAAATTCTGATATCAATTTAACTTCTCGCATGGCCCCTGATACTTAACGAGAAGCAACCACACGCGAAACTTTTCCCCAATGTCTCTTGTCACCGTTTCATTAACTCCATTACTCATGCGCTATTAATTTTTCAGACTTTTCTGTTTGAAATTTCAGTCGTCAGTTCGTATGATGTTTTAATGTTTTAATTTTGCTTTGGAATTAATTTGAGTTTGTATTATAGGTTCTTTTGGCACTTTGGGTCATTCCATATAGAACCTACCAGCCATGCAACCGCCCAACTCGGATTTTGATGATAAATTTTTTTCTTGATCAGACCACCAAATAATGAACTTCTGCAAAATATTAGGTCTCAAATCGGAAAACTCACTTAGATATGAATTTTTGAAGTTTTAAGAATTTTCAAGAAAGAGACTTTTCGAACTTCCGAGAAAGAGAGGGTCATTTTTCCGAAAAAAATTCACCTCGGGCCTATTTTTCGTCGGATTGAAGTGAAAATTTGACACAATGTCAATAAAAGTATGTAGACTTGAGAAAAAAATGCATAAAATGTTTGACTTTACTCATTGATGTGCTGCGGTTGATTGTTCGTTGTGATTTTGTCTGATTTTAGCGGCAAAACCCTCCCCCCTTCAAATGCCCATAACTTTTGAGCTGCAAGTTATTTTTTGCTCCAATTTTTTTTAAAATGCTCCTAAGAGTATGAGAAAGACGCCTAAAGAACAATTCTGATGGCGTTTCGGGCTTTAGTACTTTTTTTTTCACTTTTGTCCAAAAAAGGCCTGAAAAACTGAAAGTAACACCAAAATTATTCCGATAATCGTCCATTGCCCTAAATAGTCAACTCAAAAATCGCTCAATTTTTGCCTGAATGGTCCTTACTGTGTGTACAATATGTTTGAAAAATAAAATCAATGGTATTTTGGGTTCCAATATCTTTAACTTCGAGTTTTTTCCGAAAGAAGGCAAGCAAAACTGAAAAACACTGAAATTACACCAATTATCGGCCCTAACTTTGGAGTAGCAACTCAAAAATTGCTCACATTTTTACTGAATGGTTCTCACTGCATGTGAAATGCGTCTGAGGAATAAAAGTGATGGTATGTTGGGTTTCCATAACCCTTCTCCTAACATTTTTACTCAAAAGAGGCTCCCTTAACTGAAAAAAGCGCTGGGGCGAAAGCGAAAGGGAGGGGAGAAATATGTACAAAAATCATGTATTCAGATATTTTACGATAAAAAAATAGAATGTTATCAATGAAGTAACTGTAAGGCTTGCCCTTGATTCACTCAATTCAGAACTTAGTTCCTTTTTCAACTCGAAGCATTAAATTTACTTCCAAAAACTTTTTAATTTTCAGATCTATAAAGTAGACTGTTGCTGATTAAGATCATGATCTTGTTTGCCTTCAATAATTACTCTAACCCAGAGTAAGTTAAAGTTATGCTAGAAATCTCAACAAATTCGTATGTTGCATGTGTGCATAATAGGCATTGGTTCTTTGGGCTTGCTCTATCCAAATCAGAGGAAGGCAGCGATTCTGAGTTTTCATTTTTGTATCCGTCCGCCTCCTTGAAAATTAAAAAGGTTTTTGAAGTAAATTTAATGCTTCGAGTTGAAAAAGCAACTAAGTTCTGAATTGAGTAAATCAAGGGCAAACCTTACAGTTACTTCATTGATAACATTCTATTTTTTATCGCAAAATATCTAAATACATGATTTTTGTACATATTTTTCCCTCCCTTTAGGAGTGAATCCCTTGCTATATTCACTCCTCAAGTTAGTGTGCTTCCCATACAACAAGAGGCCTTTGGTGAAAAATCTGGGCCCCCAATCAATTGCTTTTTCAATGTAATGGTCGGTTGATGAGATTTTCCTAGCGCTTTTTTCAGTTAAGGGAGCCTCTTTTGAGTAAAAATGTTGGGAGAAGGGTTATGGAAACCCAACATACCATCACTTTTATTCCTCAGACGCATTTCACATGCAGTGAGAACCATTCAGTAAAAATGTGAGCAATTTTTGAGTTGCTACTCCAAAGTTAGGGCCGATAATTGGTGTAATTTCAGTGTTTTTCAGTTTTGCTTGCCTTCTTTCGGAAAAAACTCGAAGTTAAAGATATTGAAACCCAAAATACCATTGATTTTATTTTTCAAACATATTGTACACACAGTAAGAACCATTCAGGCAAAAATTGAGCGATTTTTGAGTTGACTATTCAGGGTAATGGAGGATTATCGGAATAATTTTGGTGTTACTTTCAGTTTTTCAGGCCTTTTTTGGACAAAAGTGAAAAAAAAAGTACTAAAGCCCGAAACGCCATCAGAATTGTTCTTTAGGCGTCTTTCTCATACTCTTAGGAGCATTTTAAAAAAAATTGGAGCAAAAAATAACTTGCAGCTCAAAAGTTATGGGCATTTGAAAGGGGGAGGGTTTTGCCGCTAAAATCAGACAAAATCACAACGAACAATCAACCGCAGCACATCAATGAGTAAAGTCAAACATTTTATGCATTTTTTTCTCAAGTCTACATACTTTTATTGACATTGTGTCAAATTTTCACTTCAATCCGACGAAAAATAGGCCCGAGGTGAATTTTTTTCGGAAAAATGACCCTCTCTTTCTCGGAAGTTCGAAAAGTCTCTTTCTTGAAAATTCTTAAAACTTCAAAAATTCATATCTAAGTGAGTTTTCCGATTTGAGACCTAATATTTTGCAGAAGTTCATTATTTTGGGCGGTTGCATGGCTGGTAGGTTCTATATGGAATGACCCCTTTTTGTGTTTTAAGATGACGTTCCCCAAACATGTTACATGAAGCCAGTGTGACACAAACTCAGTTGTTGTGGCAGCAGCTATATGCAGGCAGATTATTATTGAAACAGACTTTTGGTATTTAAAACCGTACTTGTGAGCAAAATGAGACTCAAGAAGTTTTTCTCAAGAGAGGCGGTGACAACTAAACGTTGCTTTCGATTTTTTTCTCCCCCTTTTGGAGGTATTATGAGTAAAATTTATGATGATTGATTACGCCATTAATATCAAAGGCAACTTTATTATCTACTAATTTACCTAGGATCAAATGTAACCCGAACTTCATGACAATCAGCGTAGCTCGGCCAGATCACTACGTTGAGACGTTATGTTACAAAGAAATTGCGAGGAAATCATTGAACAAGCGCTCTTAATTTTATAAAAATTTAATTTACCGGTATCTAAGCAGGATCTGAGGACAAAGATGAGGTTCAAAAACTCGTCAGGAAGCGGAATTTTATGCAACGCAGATGAACATTTATTGATGTCCTTTGTCGTTTATAGATGTCTATGATGATGTAAGCTCGAATTTGAGGCAACACACAGGCACATTTCATTCAGAATAGATGTGTTGTGATGCTGTACATGAGCATTTTTTGCAAATGTTTCTTATGACGAGAGAATATGCTGAGGAAACAAAGCGGCGCGGAGCAGGTACAAGAATTATGAAGCAGTAGCCACCTATAACAGAGGATTCCAAATAAAAATTCCGGCACACTTAAAAAATTTGATCATAAACAGAGGGTAATAGGGAAGAAAGTTACTTAAAATATTGGTGATGAAAGAATAGGGGCTATATATCAGGCCATAGTTGCCTTGTCAATGCTGGGCAGGAATAATTCATTGTTTGAATAGCAAAATTGATCTTTTGCACGCAAGAGATCCAGCTGACTAATTACACTTCGTGTGGGTGAATTCGCTCAAAAATCACGGTGGGCACGTCAAAATAATCTGAATTTCACTCCTCAGCGCCCAATCTGCGTAGTTTGTAACATGCTTTTTCAAATTTACCGCATGTGCTGACAATTATTTTGGGTGGCCAGCACGCACGTTTGCCTAAAGAGAGACCTTACTCTAAATAAACAAACAATCTTGGGAACTGTTTAAAATTCTCTTTGCATAAGATTTTATTTGATTCAAACTTTTTGTTTTTCTAAAGTAAAGAAAGAAAAAGGAAATGAACACTTGAAAACAATGGAAATCATCCAAAAGGAAAAGGTAGTAAAATCGTTTGTTTACTCAGGTTAGTTTCTCATACTGCAAACTGGTCAGTGAAGACTGAGAAAAACTGCTCGCAAACGCAGGAAACTTGAAAAAGCTGGTTATAAACTGTGCAGATTGCGCGCTAAGGAGTGAATATGAGACAATTGTGATGTGCCCAGCGAGACTTTTGTGCAAGTTTACCCGAAAAGGTTATGTTTATTTGGCTGCATCTCTTGGGTGTAACAGACCCAATGAAAAGGAAACAAAAATGAAAATTCATTAACTTACACATCAAATTTTGCGTGAAGCTCTTCAATCATGGCATGAAATTTGTCAAAAGGCACAGTAGTGATAGAAGGATGTTCTGCCATCTGTGAAGGGAAAAAAAGAGCTGTTAGATCAATAAAGTAAGTATCATGCTTTATGAATACGCAGCGTTTTATCACTGAAGATATTGACATATGAGTCTTGCATGCTCATGAACTATGTGCAGCTTCAGACTTCCTCTTGCCCTTGACATAAACTCTCCTGAAAATGATGCAACATTTACTGGATATCATCCCCTTTCTCCTAAAAAATCAGCTCTGTCTCAAAACTTGTATGGAAACTATTTTAAATTTTCAAAAAAGGGTAGCAAAGGACATGTTTTTACATGACATCATTCAGCATTAGACTCCCGGACTAACCCACAGGCAAAGCGTAAATTATAAATCGCCTTAAAGAATGAGGCACAGGACATCTTTTCAAAAATAAACCCATAACGTTCGATGGCTTTTCGAGGAGACCAAATTTGTTAAGAAAGAGGACTTTCAAGATCATGGTTTAATGTAAGAAACTCTACGGCAAACAAAAAAGGCCTGATTTCCTGAATTAGTGTGAGCAGTGAGAGAAATTTCTTTAATATTCCAGAATATTACAAACTTAAGTATGTTTGAGCAGTTTACCAAAATTCATAGATGCCCTTTGAATGCAATTATTAATTTGTCTGCTGTGCTTAGAGATACAATTCTGTTTTTCAATCAAAATACTCATATGCTCCATAGGAAAAAAAATCACTAGGGTTCAATCAGGTAAAGAATACTCCAGAATGTTATTTAGAACATTGCTAATAGCGTTATCTATCGGAGGTCGGCAAAACACGACAAAAACAATTACCCGCGAGATGGACGAATTGACTCATCAATACATGTATGTCTCAGGCACAGCATGATGAATATACTCGTCAATACATGCTAGTGGATTAACAAAGTTTTGCACATTATGTTTCAGCTTCATGTAAGTAGGGCAATGCTAGTATATAGGTTGCTCATCGTGAATGCATAATTCAATTTAACCTTTTAAGAGCAACAAGATATGTGAGTATTGTATGTTTGATGATAGAACTTACTCTGTGGCCGAGATGATGAAGTCAGAACAGTATTGGAGATTCAAGCTGGCAAAATGCACCTGAGTTTCACAATCTATAAAAACAAGAAACAAACAAATTAAGAACTAAATTAAAACTAGTTCACAGTGCAAATGAAAGTACAAAAAAGCAATTATTGAGTGCTAAGGCATTTTGGGTCCGAGCATGATCCTGTAGTTCTCGTCATGAGGATTCCCAGCTACAGCGATATATTTTTCCAGGGTTGGTGGACTCAGTCGAGCCAAGTTAATTTGAATGAACAAATACCTATGCATGAATTGAAAACATTAACTAGGTTTTATGATAGACCGCTTTAGTGTAACCTAGGAACAGTGTTCTGCCTTCCCCGGACGCCATGCACCAAATGCTCCTACAAATTGGGGGAGGGGGGCTGAAATTCTGTGGCGCCTAAAATATTTAACGGATTGAACTGGCACCGTTCGCAGCGCAGCCCAAGAGCAAGAAGGTTATTTTCATTTGCCATGGCCCGTATGCAAAGATTTCATGTGACTCCTAAGAATTGGGCTTTCAGGCCTAGGTGGCTTCTAAAATTATAGGGAGAAGGCAGAACACTGCCTGGAAAACAAAGCAATGTTAGGTTCTGTTCTTGCAGCTGAGATCAGATTTGTTTAAATGAAACTTCCACTAGTCACAATTTGGGGCAGAAAACAAGACTTTCGACAGTTTTCTCACTCCTCACTTGCATTAATCTCAAACAGACTATACTTAAATTTCCAATTTTCCATTTACGAGGGGACAGACCATAAAACTTATTGTGGAGACCACATAGTGACCGAGTTCAGTGACTTAGGCGCATGTTAAGTAAGTAACGCCACTCACATTCTCTTAGCCCTCATGGATTTGGCAGCATGCTGCACAATTTTAACTCTTAGTGACAACCCATAACCTGGGAGGGTAAGGCACATTAACTTTAACTATCAAATGCAGATTTAAGAGGCCAAATTTCAGGCGAAGGCTGTCCTAAAGATGACAGGGGTTTCTCTAATGTTCTTGGCTGTTACTGACGTGTACTAGGAAGAAACCTTGCAGATTGGTATTCGAAGAATGGATAAGATTCTTCCAGACAAATGGATTGATGTAGAATGAAAGGAAAGAAGATATTCACTTACTTGGCACTGAAATCCTTAAGGACCAAGAGGGTTCATTTATGGATCCCAAACAAGCACATCCAAAACCAAAACTAACACTGACTAGAAAAGAAAAAAACTTTCAACAGATCGCGGATCACGAAACTAAAAGTGACTAGAAATGAAACGTTCAAAGTCCAAACCAAAACCATCCAAAACTGACTAGAAAATAGAAATGAAATTGGTGGCAGAAGATCGTGGATCAGATCACGTGCATTACACTGAGAATTCAAATCAATATGGCGGAACGTCAACAATGGTGACCCGAAACTGAGCACCCCGAACGAGCACCAACCACCCCGATAATCCATCAATCCGGTTTGTTTTCGGGGTGCCCTGTTGACTTGGTCGACGACCAAGTCGTCAGTCGGAAAAACCCCTGATACAAACAAGCAGAGACAAGAAACTGGCTGAGTAGAGGTTATGTTCGTTCCGCGGCAATCCAGGCTTGCCAAATTAACAAAACAAATTGGCTCTATCCTTTCATATCAATGAAGTTGCGTAAGCTGATGGGTGGAGGACAGCTTTGCGAATCACGGTGGGGGTACCAGGGAGAGGGAGGCTACAATGTGATGGTTGAAATCGTATTATATTTGCCGGCTGGAGC